CGGGGACACCCGGCGCTCCATCACGGCTACGCGTTGAAATGAATGACGTTGGTACAACATAATGTATTTCTGTTACCCCCCTCCCCAATCCTTCGTTATGTCTTGTGTCCTCTCACCGTTTGTGATAGCTAGTGTTGTCTGGTGGTGGTCGTAGTTGTGCGGATACAGATCTGTGATGCTCTTACCTTTTCTGTGGTGACTGGAAATTCATATCCCCGCATATAAATATGTCCCCCCCACCACCACCCCACGTCGATCTCCCTCTCTCTTCCATGTTGTATTTTGTGGATTATGCGCATGGATTACCACTATTCTATAATAATTTATTTGATTTTTAGATGACAAAATGAATCTGATGGTCTGTTTTTAACCACAGCCTGCTGCTGCGTCAGGACTTGTTTTTCCATTGTGCTCCACTGTAGCCACATCTACAATATGGCAGCTGATAGCTGAGCAGTGGTCTCTCCACTGAAGTAAATGTGGTATTTGTAGCAAATAGTGGTGCAAGTGAGAAGTCTGTGCTGCTGATCATAGACTCTGGAGGATCATTGTAATCTCATCTGAACAGTAACCAATAGCAGGCAGGGCTAGGCCTAATAAAGGAGGGCCTCCGTCACTCCAGGTTTCCCCCATTTTAGATGCAGCTAAACTCAGCTCCCATTTCATAGCCCACAACATTCACACCCCCCACCCCCCCACCCCCCGTTTGCAACATTTCAATGTGGCACCTGTCTCTGAAACCCACACATTGTTACACCTGGTCACTAAAAAGTGACTGATTAAAAGATGTATCAGTGTTTGTGCATATTTCCTACAGATGAAATGTCCTCCAAGTGAAAAGGCTTGTCAGATGGAGATAAAAAATGCCAATTTCCTTTCCTTCCACATGCAGTGTCATAATCTAATAAAGGATTGGAGGCAGGTGTCATGAATGTTGAATGGATGTCAGAAATAGATATTCTAAAAGCCTATCCCAGAGCTGTCCATGACAGTCCTATTAATAGTGATGGCAGGCTGGCTAGGTTTTTTGAAGATACTGTATGTGCTCTCTCACACTCAGACTAAGTGCTATGTGTTTTTTGTGTGTGTCTACTTAAGTGGTAAATGTTGTACTGTAAGTGTAGAAAAAAATGTTTGGTGGCCATGTATTATGAACATAGATACCTTCATCACATGCTGTGGCATGTGGGCCGGTGTTTTCATCACTGTGGTAGAAAGCATAAACAGATTTCCTCACGGGGACCCCCACAGGACTGTAAACATCACATCATAATGTTATATACTATAGTGGTTATGGCTCACTTGGCTGGCAGTGACAACACAGTGCTACTTACAGATGTGTATTCACATGTAAACATGTGAACATGTTGTGAGTGTGTATGTATTTGTGTGTGTGAGATAGTCTTGGGTGGGTGTTATTTGTGGTTCCTCTTTGAATCTGAGTCCTGCACACGTCCCAGGTGTTCACACATTTGTATTCCCTCCAGGGCAGGTGCCTTCTAATAGAGTTCTGTTAAATGCTGTGCAGTCAGAAGTGTCAATGTGCGGATGGTGTGTGTGAGCGAGACAACAGTGTGTGTGAGGATGTGTGTGTATTTCTCACCGGTTTTAGGCAGAGCATCTTTGATTGGCTCCCAGACTCAGGGTATAAGTGTATTACATAACAGGGTTGGCAGACACAGGGAGGACGGACCGTGAGACTCACTCAGTGCGTCGGAAAGAGAAGCCTCTTTCTGGAATACAGCACCTTGTTACTCGACATCTCAGACTCAGCTCTCACGGAGGACCATCACCTCGACCGCTTCCAAAAGGGATTTAATTATCATGATTGTATGAACCGGACTTCTCCATGCATACACTCTCTGAACAGTTACATGCCACAAACATGGTAAGGCTGGCTAAAGGCGTGTGTGTGTGTTTGCTCAGGGATGCTGTAGGTGCTTTGGTGCAGCTGTGCTATGGCTAGAGATAGAGGAGGATGTTGGAATGCAGTGGAGCTGCCAGTGCAGTGAATGCTGATGTGTTGTGCTGCAAAGATGATATAAGCCAATGAATCGGCTTTTTACTCTTACATATTTCCTTGTCAGTCTTCTCAGTGCTTGAATATGATAGAGAAAGCATTGTCATATATGTCCATGTATAGGGATAGATTCCTCTGCATTCATTTGCATTGACCCAAATAGAGGTTTTTGCGATTGAAAGACGGCTGCTTCACTCTCTGATCTTTGATGTTGTAACTGCATTGTAACCATAATGATGACACAGGTCATTACCGCTGGTAGACACACAGGTAATAATGAGTATTGTTGCAGGACTTCTCTGTGTTTGTGTGTCTATGTGTTTACTGTATGCCTTTTGATCAAGCTAGGTAGGAGCCGGTGCTAAGGCAGGAATTGGGAAGATTGATTATGTAATGCTTTTAATTTATTCAGACATGTAGAGGGAAAAAGGATGCAATGTATTGGAGAGGGCAGTGCTGATCTCATTAGGGAGATGGAAGGATGAGGGGAAGGAGAGAACTGAGCAAGGAGGAACATTGGCTGTGAATGGATCTCTCTCTCTCTCTCTCTCTCTCTGTCTCTCTCTCTCTCCCTCGCTCTTTCTGTCTGTTGCCCATATTACAGCAGATTGATGGGGACTGGAGAGATTGTGCTTGGAGTGAATGGGGCTGAAAACGGAGTGGTGCTGGGGGGGGGCAAGGCTCATCTGTTCTAAGGGTGCTGTTTCAGACAGAGGTCCTGATGTCAGATGGTGACGGTCAAGCAGAACTGATTTGGCTTCAACTAGTTATGCCAGCATGTTTTTTTTATACTATCCATTTATGTAATAAATGATTTAAATCAAATTCCATATCCTCAATCAACAATGATTTTTTAATCTTTTTGAGCACTATTCATTGGTCCTGTTTCCATGGCAGCGTGACACATGTTTTTGCGGTAATCCTCCTCTCTTCCTGTAGTGGAGAGCTTTGAGATATAGACTGGAGCTATTGTTGCCCCAGCTCCCAGCCCTATGTGATACCTGATTGAATCATCCCACTCAGAGACGTCTTTGATCTAAAATTTGCATGCAGAGGCCCACACTATTATATTTTACAGCAACATGGAGATGATCATGTTAGTGAATGCTGCAATGTGATTGGTTTGTCATGTTAATAGCAGATAACAGAGTGATATTGCATTTATTCAGTGGTCACTCTTTGTCCGTGTCTACTCAAGCGCAGAGACACTCACACACCTAAATTTGGAAATATTCTGGTGCATCCTGAAGTGTCCTTGCTTCATCCCATCATCTTGTCAATACCAGTGAAGCATCCTCATCTGTCGCCATGACTACGGCTGTTCTTTCCCTTCCAGGCATGGACGTCCCTCCTCTATGTTCACTCCTCTGCCCTGATTGGCTTATATCCCCTGTAGCTGTCTCAATAAACCATCAGGGAGGTATGCTTGTCTACAGGTTGAAGGGGCAACGTAGCTGCTGAGTCTGAGAGCTTAGAGCCTCATGGGGGGGGGGGGTTCAGATGATACAAACAAACACACATACACACACAAAATCTGCTGTTTCTCATGAACGTTCTTCCAAATACACTGCATCAGCAGGAAGGTAGAATAGCATTTTTGTGCTGGAGTGATGAGGTGCATATTAAAAGGTTTTCTCATCTAGGGATTTCGTTTTATAACAGGCAAAGCAATCTTAAATGACTGAGGGAAAACATCTCCTGCTCCATTTAAAAAATAATACTAGCTCAATATTAATATGCAGAAGCCCTAATACAAGTAAAGAACTAATTTCATGTCCATCCATGTGACAAACCTGTCTCCAGGCTTTTGATAACTCCTTACCTAGAGCCTAAGCAGCTCCTGTCAGGCTTGGTTAGCGCTGGCTGCTCTGCCCACAGCCCCAGGGACTGGATGCATGGTTAGCTCAGGACTGGAGAATGCTGATGAACACTACTTTGGAGAGAACAATTGGAACAAACAGTTGGAGCTGTGCCACAGATGCATACCCAGGTTTAATGCATAAAAAAGCGTGGCTGCACGTGTGAGTGTGCGCATGTGTGCGTATGCATGCCTCAGGGCGACAGAGCTAAGTCCTCAGTGTGATGGATAGTGGTGTTGTGTGGTAGATGGATGATGTCAGACTCAGGTCCTTCTCAGGAACATTGTCCGCTGTCTCCTGTCCTTTAATGAGAACAACCGTTAGCCTCTAAAATCCCTGTAAAGAATACTGATCACCTGACAGGCTTTCGTACATTTACAGACTATATCCAGTGCATGCACCTCAAACAATAGTCTACTAATGTACATGCACACAGTTGCACAATTTAAACATTTATTTTCAGTGTCGCATAATGTCCACATTATTCATTCATGATGTTAAAATCAATAGAAAAGATATGATGAGTCATCCTTTCATGTTTTGTCAAAGACTGTGCTGCAGATAAAATAGCAAGCCCTGGTGACAGCATGAAGGAAGGGAGATTATCCCTTCACATTTGTTTGCTCCTCAGCATTTATATTACATTAACACATGTAATTATTCTAATGTCATAATGGGCCAATTACGATCCCTGTGTGGAGATTGGTGCTGTGCTTCTGAACGCTGTGTTGTTTCTCCACTAATGGCTCTGCCTTTTTTGTGTTGTTGTATTTTGTTGTGTTGTACACTGTGGTCTGTGTTAGCTATTGTGTAGTTCTGTTTGCAATCCCTAAGCTGCCAGTGGGCCCTGGCTTTGAGGGTGTGTATTTGCATCCATTAGTAATCTGAGTGGGTTTAACAACAAGAATTTACACAAATTGAGGCCAAAATGAGGCTGAGTAGTGTATTACAATCACTTTCAAATTTGTTTAATGTGCTGTTTTAGATCACGTGGGTCCATATTTATTGGTCAGTGTCTACAGTGATGTTTATGCTCTTTTAGTGGTGTTTCCACAACAGTGGCTTCAATTAATCAGAATAAAACATAAGCCATTGCCTGTCTCTCCCTCCTCTTTCTGCAGTTGATAAGTGGAGGTTCAATCGTCAATGCTGAGGCGGTATGGGACCATGTGACCATGGCGGACCGGGAGTTGGCGTTTAAGGCCGGTGACGTCATCAAGGTGCTGGACGCCTCCAACAAGGACTGGTGGTGGGGCCAGATTGACGAGGAGGAAGGATGGTTCCCTGCCAGCTTTGTACGGGTGAGTTAGCTGCAGCCATGGCTGGCCAGCGACCATAGACACAACACACACCCACACACACACAGAAATGGAGGCACATGAACATATGCACAAAAGCTGATAAATAAACATACTGGGAGGTGCACATGCACAAGTATCTTGTCACATGCACAAAAACACACACTGATATGCTTGTGCCACACACAGTTTACACACAGTTGAATAATGCTTTGTTTTAATAATACATAACACTCAAGAGATCAGAGAATAGCTAGCTAAGAGCCTTTATCTGGTGTTCAGGGACAACGAAACAAAGATGCTGATGAGCCCCCTTTTTTAAGTTTGGCTTCACCTTCAACTCCTATCCTTGAAATCAACTTAAATTTACAACGTGTTCACTTTACCTTGTGATTATATGATATCACCCATATCTGAGCTCAACTAAACCCAACACTGCATTAACACAGGACTGATCCAGCTACTATATGTTATTCCATACCTCTTTCACTTAACTTATTGAATGATTGGAGAATTAGCATCCTTGTTGTAGGTGGAGGCTTCCACAGCAGATAAGCCCCCCCACCCCCCACCCCACCCCCCTACCCCACTCCCCCCTCCCGGGACACTCCTCATGGCCATTCCCACCTGTCCACCCTTCCATATTCACTCCTGAGAGGGCAGGGCAGACAGGCTGACTGACTGTCAACCAAAAAGTATCTTTTTGTTCTGTCATTCTCTCTTTCCAAGGTGGAACCCCACCCTCCTCAGCCCCAAACAAAACAGGTTTTCTATATCAACCCCATAGCAACTCCACGGTTCCAAAACACCACGTCAAAGGTGCGTTTTCCCAGCTTCATCTACCCATCCAGCCTGCCCGCCCACCCGCCCGCTCCAGTCTGTCCACGCAACGTACCCTCGACATTACCAAACATTAACGTTCCCATGACGTTATCACATCATCCTCAACGGGGTCGATAGAGAGGCAGAACTGATGAGTCAAAAGTAAAGATAACGTTAAATGTCTTCTTGATGGCCTATACTCAAATTATACAAGTGCATTCACATAGAATTAGATGTATTTTGGATTCAATGTTCCTGTTAACATCCATGGTTATTTCCATTTCAAATATGGATCATTTTCTTCAGTACTCTTATTTACTATTGACTCTGACTATTTCTCAGTCTAAATGCTGCGCAACTAGTTCTCGTCTGCAGTCAGTGCTCTACCACCCGTCACTCTGCTTGTCTGTGGCGCTGCATTTCTCATCTTGTGTTTGGCATTCTACCCGTCGGTTCTTTGATGTTCTCTTGGCAAACTGTGTGTCATCAGGTGTTGGCTGCTGGGCATCTGAAACCACGCTCACTCGGCCCTTTCTATGAGCGAGAGTGGAATACACTATGTGTGTGGATCTGTCTGTGTGTGTGTGTGTGTGTGTGTGTGTGTGTGTGTGTGTGTGTGTGTGTGTGAGTGTGAGTGTTGGTGAGTGCATGCTTGCGTGAAGAAATCCTGAGGTTGTGTGATGTGTGTTTGTGTGTGTGTGTGTGTGTGTGTGTATATGCATGTGTATGTGCAAAGGGGAGTCACACACAGGGCCAGAGTTGGGCATTAAATATCCTCTGGGCACCAGTTTCAGAAAGAGGCTTATTTTAAACTCTGGAGTGTTTGGCAGTTTGTCCCGCACCTTTCTGACATGCTGGACCAAGAGTCTGACTCACTGTCCAAACTACCAGACACCCTCTAAATGAAGCTCTGTGTGTGTGAAATGGGTGTTTATGTATGTGATGGGGATATGTGTGTGTGTGTGTGTGTGTGTGTGTGTGTGTGTGTGTGTGTGTGTGTGTGTGTGTGTGTGTGTGTGTGTGTGTGTTTGTGTGTGTTTGTGTGATATGTGGATTCATGCCCAGGAAGAGTGAGTGGTACCAGTTTTATGGGAAAGATTTTGTGATATTAATACCGAAACACATCTGTTTACTAATACTTTTTTCATCAGATTCATACACTTATTACTTAATTGTGCACATTTCATATTCAAGTGCATGTGTGTGTGGCTCTGTGTGTGTGTGTGTGTGTGGCTCTGTGTGTGTCTGTGTGTGTGTGTGTGTGTGTGTGTGTGTGTGTGTGTGTGTGTGAATGTATTTGTCCCCCAGCTGTGGGTGAACCAGGAGGACGGGGGAGCAGAGCCAGCTGAGGGAACCAGCGAGGTGCAGAATGGACATCTGGACCCGACCAATGACTGCCTGTGTCTGGGGTCGCCTCTCCAGAACCGAGACCAGATGAGAGCTAATGTCATCAATGAGATCATGAGCACAGAGAGACATTACATAAAACACCTCAAGGACATCTGTGAGGTACGAAAAACACATACATCCTCCATTGCACACGTGCTTACATCCAGCTATAAAGCCATGCTTTAAAACCAGTGAACAGTAGGAAAGGTAAACGGTAAGGAACTGAAGCACGAGAGAGAAGAGGCAATTTGATGCTACACAAGGGTCTAGGATGAATTCTTAACACTCCCACATTCACACTTTTTTTTCCAGACCTGCTTCTTTTTTTCTTTTGATTGTAAAACACTCCAAAAATAATCTTTTTCTTAAATGTGAAAACACAATATGTCATTTGTACACAGTAGTGACAACAGCCACACTTGGAGTGATCTGGTCCAGATTAAATTTGTCATTATATTATGAATCATGCCGATGTGACGAGCTGGAATTCACACCTAATAAAATTAAACAAAAGCCTTTTTCATTTCTTACATTTCAGCATGGAAAGCCTTTTATAAGGATTCAAAACAGGACACACCCAAACTTACATCAGGATCTGAAAACTCAACATATTATTTAGAATCAAGCATTCAAACATTTTAACAATTTAATTCCTAAATTCTTGGAAGTCATACATACTTTTCATAAGTTTTTCACCAACATGGCTGTCAGCCCACTGTGTAGTCTGATACATGTCTGCATGTACAGTACAGTACAGTACAGTACAGATAAAGTATTCATTCTATAAAAGGTTTTAATGTTCTGTCTGTATAATTTACATATATGGCATTACAGTCAAGAAGTCAAGAGGTAGCAGTGCCAGCTGATAACTGGTTTAGCAGAAACAAATAACTATGGGAATAGAAGATAATGATTGTTGTATGATGGACTGATTAATTAATTATGACATGTCATGACCAACAAGCTATATGTTTATTTTATTTTATGATCGCGAGCAGGCCATACTCATAATCAAACAGTATTTTACATATAGTTATTGACCTAACTAGTAGCATTAACAATTTAACATACTGTGAAGTACATCAGTCCATTGCCACCAGTTGGTCTTCCTGCTGATAATGTGAAAATATTCATTAATACATACAAGTTAGTTAAAGTAAGATGCAATAACTCTGCTTTTCAGGTGAAGCAGATGTTTCTAAAATGCTATTTGTCACCAGCACAGCAATTGCATGGTTGCTAGTTGCATAACAGTTGTATCAGAATACAGAGCAAAAAAAGCTTTGCATCACATTGACTCTCAGTGCAAATTTTTGCTTATGTAATCATCTTAATCCTCTGCATACCTGTATTCCAGGTGAAGTGTAATGGTTCAAAATATTTGTAATAACTTTCTCACCTCTACATTTCTTGTCTGTTAGAGCATTCTGCATTCTCCAACTTGCCATAAACATGCACAGACAAGAGGTGTATAATAGTAGAGTTGACTGATACCTGATAGCTTGGAAATAGATATGAACAAGTCAGTCAAAGGGGAGATTTACCTATTTTCAAACTGTGTCTTTCACATAGGTAAAAATAAAGGGTTGAAGGTTTTAGGTTTTGCACATGAAGTCAAAATGCCAGAAGTGCTTCATATCATAATGTACAACATGTACCCATCATTTCTTCTCTTTAGTATTTTGAAAACATGTCTTCAACATTCATACATTTCTCATCACTGCTTTAATTTAGATTATTTGGATTTAGCTTGACTTCGAGAAACAAAACAAAAAGGCTTAGCGTGTGTATTTCACAAAGACAACAGAGAGAATTGTGGGTGGTGGAGTGTGAAATAGCAAAAACCTACCACTTACAGCAGATCTTTTCCAAAGCCTCAGGGTGTGCCAAAGCTTCAGGGCCAAAGCTTCAGGGCATTTAATTAACCACAAGAATTGGACTGACGAATTGGGACCACAGTTCAACCTACACAAAGTTGTTTTTGACTCTTTAAAAGAATCATAGTTCATTTTAATTCAAATGTATTCTACTTAAAGAATGACTTGACATGTTTATTACAAAGAATTAACAAAACTAGGAATGAGAGTGATGAGATGAAACAAGCGGAGGAGAAGATTGCACATTTCTGTAGCATTTTCTGACTCATGGCCTTGCAGCCATATCACAATATAGGAACTGGTACTTAAACTGTATCTCCTTTGAAAACCTCACAGTTGTTGTAAATCGTATTGTTGCAGGGTTACCTGCGCCAGTGCAGGAAGCGTGTGGACATGTTCAATGATGACCAGCTCAAGGTCATCTTTGGCAACATCGAGGACATCTACCGCTTCCAGATGGGCTTTGTTAGAGACTTGGAGAAACAGTACAACACAGAGGAACCGCACCTCTCTGAAATCGGACCATGTTTTTTAGAACACGTAAGTCCAAATAGTATTGTCATAAGTATCTTCCTTTTTTTTTTCGCTCTGATAAAAAATTAGGATGAAAAATGAATAGACTTTTACACACTGTCCAGCCAAGAGCAGCCATAATTGCTAATAATTGTGTTAGGCCTGTTATCTCAAGATCAGAACTTAATTATCTCGTCATCTTGAGATAACATTTAAGTTGTGGAGATAATTAAGTCACCAGCAAACAGTTTATCTCAAGATAACGAGATAATTAAGTCATGATCTTGAGAAAACAGCTCTAATAAAAATTTTAGCAACCATAGCTGTTCCTCTGTACATATCGGCTTCTCCCCAGCATGTTTTATTGAAAGGAGGATTTATTGATCATGCACCTCCCCTATCCTTTACTCTACAGCAAGATGGGTTTTGGATCTATTCAGAATACTGTAACAACCATTTGGATGCCTGTATGGAGCTGAGCAAGCTGATGAGGGATGGCAGGTACCAGCACTTCTTCGAGGCCTGTCGCCTCCTCCAGCAAATGATTGACATCGCCATAGACGGCTTCTTGCTCACCCCTGTCCAGAAAATCTGCAAATATCCACTCCAGTTGGCCGAGCTTCTCAAATACACTGCACAGGAGCACAGGTACTGTACGCCCTGGCCAAGATCACATTTAATCTGCTTAATGTGTTGCTGGTTGATGGCCAGTTCATTTGTTTCTAAAAAGAATCTATTACTGGTGCGTCATTGTGCTGCAGATGCATCGTGTTGTGATGCAGCTGTTGCAGGTGTTGGGTTTATTCTGCTGAAGCGGTGCTCGTCCATGCATGCACTGAAATAAATGTTGTTTTGCCCTGTTGTCTGTGAATATTTTAGAGGACAACATTTAATGGAAGGAATCCATGCGACAGTGCTGCGGTTCATAAGCAAGTCAGATCATTTTCATATCGATGCGTGTCCATGGGATCATTGCGTAGAGCTCTGTATATAAATAGATTGCAGATTAAATATGAATTTGGGCTTTTGCTGGCACACATACAAGCATCAACGTTCCACAAGCTGCATGCACAGTTCAGAAGCACAATATACAATCTAAACATTTGCAGATGATCTCTCGTGAACAGACGCATATGCGAGCATCCAGATGTGCAAACTCATGCGTGCAAACCCACAGAAACATGGTGTAAGTGATTCAGCGTGTCTCAGCCAGCTCCAGGTCATTCACAAACCACGCATTCTCAGCCAGAGAGGGATAGGTGCCAGCTCTGCCAGCGAGGCCTGCCAGATCACAGTGTTTGACTGTTAGGAGCTGTGGAGAATCTGCCAGATATAGGCCTGCTCTCTGTCACACACACAGCACTGTCACACACACACACACACTCACACACACACGCATTATCTTCCAAAGTGAGGATTGGATCCGTAGCACATCTAAGCCAGAGGGATAAATCCAGCTCAGTTAGCAAAGACGCAGTCAGAGTTAACTGTAGTCAGAGAAAATGGCTGATTGGAATTAAGTAGTGGTGTGTTATTTTGACTGTGCTCAAGCAGACTTACAGCTGTTACTTGAGTTTATAACCCCTGTCTCTAATAGGCTACTTTCTACTACTACTGCAAGATTACAGCAGTAATAAATTATGTGCACATTGTATCCGTAGTGACTATCGATACGTGGCGGCGGCCCTGGCAGTAATGCGGAACGTCACTCAGCAGATCAACGAAAGGAAGAGGAGGCTGGAGAACATCGACAAGATTGCCCAGTGGCAAGCCTCTGTTCTGGACTGGGAGGTATGTGCTCGTTCTGACTGTGGCGTAATTACAAAGCATCTGGTGTCCACCAATGATTTTTTACTGGCTCAATCTTGTCTAGTCTGGTTAGTCCATGTGTCTTTTAAAAAAAACATTTTCATGACCATCAAGCTTTCAGAGACAGAGATTTTACTTAATGTCGCTATCACTAAATGTAGAAAGCTTTACACGACTTCAAGTCTGCTTTGGGAAAATATCTCATTTAATGTTTGTTCATGCTTGAAATGCTTTTAAATTTTTTAAATGTTTTTCTTTTTAACAAACTGAAAATGACATCTTTCAGACCAAGACATAACCCTGTGTTGAATGACTTGTATAATACAATAAAAAATTCATTTTCAACGTTATTTAAAGGGATATTCTAGAAAGTTAATATTATATTTAACAAAGTTAGGATTCTTATAAAAGGCTCAATCTGGATTACATGAAATGACGATTTGACCTTGATTGTTGCCTACCAAAACATCTGCCAGCTGTTTGCTCACTTTAGTTAAAAATGAACATTTTATCTTCCTGTGTGTGCACCCTGTTCCATGCGACATGGGAATGAGGCCATCAGCGCCAACAATGTGTCCTCCTTCCTCAGCCGCCATTTTCACAAGTTTGAAAATACATCGGGGATCCCAGCGTTCCATACTTTGCACTTTCCAAATTGAGACACAGCCTTAGCCTCTAATATGGTTCAAGCTTCCAAAGGCAGCAGCATGTATTTCCCATAATGCAACTTGATAGCATTTTCTGTTAGACTTCCCCTGCCTGGTACACAGCCATGTCTTAACTCTATGTCCCAGTTTATAAAGTAGGCTCTCTGTAAAAAAAAAAATGTAATTTCCAAGCCCAAGCTGACAGCTCCCTGATGACATCATTATGACATCATCAAGGTTAATTTCTCAGACTTGACAAAGCTGCTTCAGCCACAGAAGACCATACCAACTGTTTTCACAGGATGAGATGAGTAAACTGATTGTGCTTTGCTGTGCCATGATGATTGTATTTATTGACTGTGTATCTGTATCTGTATGTGTCTGTGTGTGTGTGTGTGTGTGTGTGTGTGTGTGTTTGTGTTTGTGTTTGTGTGTGCGCACTCGCGCGTATGTGTGTCTAGGGGGATGATATTTTGGACAGGAGCTCGGAGCTCATCTACACTGGGGAGTTGTCATGGATCTATCAGCCGTATGGACGCAGCCAGCAGCGAGTCTTCTTCCTCTTTGATCACCAGCTGGTCCTCTGTAAGAAGGTAGGTGCTCTCTCTCTCCCTCTCCCTCTCTCTCTCTCTCTCTCTCTTTGTTCACTTTCTTTCCTTTTATTTGAAGACTTTGTTGGCTGAAAATGAGCTGATAAGCTAAAACTCACCCTCAGCCTGTTTTCTTGAAAGTTGTGTATATCACATGCCGGGTGACGGAGATGCTTGAAGACAATGTGACTTCCTCAGCCGTACTCGAGAGCTGCAAATAGATTACATAATCCTGCATGAGACACACCAGCACTCGGTGGAGATGCGTTCAACTCCTCAGCACCTTTCACAAAATGGAGCTGTGGTAGTTTGGGCTCTAATGCACCAGGGCTGTGCTCTCCTGTCAGACGGATGTTCACGCTCGGCTAGACTCAGCAATACATGCACACAGAGACAAAGACACAGATGCAGACAGACACTTAGACACAAAAACACACAGAGGCTGAATAACTGCATCCTCACAGGCACGCACACGTGTACACACAGAAGAAAAATCATTTCCCCATTACACACAAACACACACAGAAAAAAGATACAAGACATATTAATATACTGTCTTTCTGTGTCTCTATCTTTCCCTCTGTCCTCATCCTCCCCCCTTCTATCACATTTGAACATCTCTGGCACCAAAGATAAACTCCAGTATGTCTGCACACATGTGCGTTAGCTGTTCTGGTCCAATAAATAAAGTCCAACGCTCCAAGACACGTTCCGTTATGAATTCTAGTCTTTGTTCTACACTTCGTACTTCAGCATCCTCAGTATAACATGTATAATGGCAGCCCTCAGGGTGTGTTAGTAGCACGTTGCATGTAGTCTTCCATCTTTTACTCTCATCTCTTCCTTATCAGCACATGAATACAGATTTGTCTCTGCATGCTTGTTAAAAATTCCGGTTCCTTTTTTTGTTTTCCTTTCCTTGACCTCAGAGTGGGACTGGATGTTATTTGGTCCTGAGGCAATGGTCACGACAAAGGTTTATTTTTATGTGGCAGTCTTATTCCTACAAGGTACATCAAGTTATGCTTTTTTTTTTTTACCTGATGTACTGGTGTAGCGCAGAAACAGTTAGTCAATTAATTGATTAGTCGATTGACAGAAATTTACTTTGCAACTATTTTGAGGATTGATTAATCAATGCATGTAATTTTTCACGCAAAAGAGCCGAACATTGTGTCTGTGCAGCTTCTCCAGTGTGACAGTTAGCCGCTTCTCTTTGTTGTATGTGACAGTCAGCTGAATATTTTTTGGACCAAACAAGCAATTTCAAGACATCACACCGAACTGTAGGAGATTGTGATGTGCAGTTTTCAATCAAACGTTTAATCCATTAATAACTGGCAGATAAATTGTTAATGAAAATAATCATTAGTATCAGCCCCTGTGCTGGTGTAGCTGAAAAACATATAAATTAAATTTTCATAGTTTTTTTGTATATTTTATGAGGCTACAGTGGTTCTACGATCAAAAACGATATTAAGAAAGTCTGTCAACAAAGACGGAGCATTATAAAGTCACATAGCATCTGCAAAACAAACATAAAAATATGACATATTACAGAAATGTTGTGTTGTTGTGTATTAGATTGTACGTGTGTAAGTCTGTGTAAAAGCTTCTGTTATGATAGTATTTCTTCTATTTTCATTTTTTGTGATACCAAGTGAGGAACAGATTTACTGAGAAATTTGGCATCCCCCAATGTGTGTGGAAGGTGTTTGTATGTTTGGGCAGCAGATGGAAAAGGTTGCATAAGACAGGCTCTCAGGACACCAAGGGAAGGCTGCTTGTTGACACCTCTAAGGTTCAGCACACACAAACACACAGAGACACAGACACACATTAACGGACATCTTTCTCTCCTCTTACCCAGGATCTGATACGCCGGGACATCCTGTACTACAAGGGCCGCATTGACATGGATCGCTACGAGGTGCGGGACGCCATAGACGGGCGTGACGATGACTTCAACGTCAGTGTGAAGAACGCCTTCAAATTGTGCAACAAAGACAGCGAGGAGATCCACATCTTCCTGGCCAAGAAGCCTGAGGAGAAGATCCGCTGGCTCAGGGCCTTCCACGAGGAGAGGAAGATGGTGCAAGAGGATGAGAAAATCGGTTAGTCACGCACCTCTCTGCACCTCCCTGTTTGGAAAAGCGGGGAGGTGCTTTTCATTCACAATGAGCACTGGAGCTTCATGTTGTATTTCCTGAAGCGCAGTACAACGGGACATTTTTAGCACAAAACACGAGCTTCCCAGTGTAATGTACACAAAGTGAGGATGACGATCAGCCTGTAGCTCTGATTGGCTGGATCACGGTCAAAATGTAGTATGTTGTGGTCAAAATGTGGGTTTGTGCTTTACTGTTTTGAAAAGCTAAAGCTAAACAATGCTTCAGCTGTTCTTAAGCCAAAGTAAAAGGCGACTTCTTGCAACTTATTACGTCTTTTTTGAAATGATCTCCATGCTCTTTGTGGAACATTTGTCCAACATACAATCTTATTGTTGTTTAGGTTTTGAGATCTCTGAGTACCAGAAGCGGCAGGCGGCCATGACAGTGAGAAAGGTGACCAAACAGAAAGGTGAGGCAACAAGAAGATATCAGGTGATTTCCTTTTTTTTTTTCCTCGCTGCTGTGCTCTGTCTTCTCATCGCTGTTTACTCTTCCCTTAACCTGCTCTTTTTTTCTTTTTACTTTCTACACTTTTTTTAAACACGCATACTTTGTTTATGAATGGATCTAGACTAGCCGTGTACTGAGTAAGCTAGAAAAGTCAAGTGAATTCATGCAGTCTCACTACACTATATTACTTTCAATATTTTTCCTTTGAGATAAATGTCTGTCAGCCCATATATGAGGATGACTTGATATGAGTTGTAAAGCAGCTGTTAAGCATCAATGAAAAGACAGAGGGCTGTTTGCATGAACTATTGAGTTTAAAGGGCGATACCAGTGTTCATGACATGCGGGTCTTGTGTCACGCTTGTCTTGAAATGATTTAATATCCCAGACAACTGTTTGCATTTTTTTCTTTTTTTGAGTTAGGGTGGTTGTTGGTGCTTTTCACTTCCAGTAACATCTAGATTGTCAAAGAATACCCTCAGTCTTGTAAGTTTATACCTACTTCTGAGGTGTACAGGTGTTGTATAGTTGATTTACTATGTTTTATTACAGCATCTAAACTGTACAACACGGTGCCTTTACCTTGTATTGTGTAATCCAGCACAATGGAATGTCCTGACACCTTGAAGTCAGGAGAACAATCAGGGTAATCGTGTTATTTTTAATTTTTTTTTTTTTTTAATTAAACATGTTCTGTTTTACTGTAACACAACATACTTTATGTCCAAACATTATGGCAACAACATAAACCCCAACAGTTACCAGCTATCTCAGTAACAGAAAAACATGTCAAACAAGCTTTTCATGGATGCTAGTTCCTGACAAAGTCTCAAAGACAGAGGACCCACACGCTCAAACTGCTGGTATCATCCTTTAAGATTTAGCCATTTTAGTGCTAGGCTAGATGTTTGTACATTTACCATTACTGATGTTCTTGCTATTGCCAGTTTCACAATAAGCATGACCATCCATTAAGGTATTGATTAACCAATGACCACTGCTGGAATGTTCTCTCTGACGTTAGGATCCCTGTAGATGTCTGTCAGAAGTAAATGTTGTGTGTTTCTAAGTGCTGTATGTGTACATGGCTGGCACAAGGTGAAGTACTCTCTTGAATTTCAGATTCATTTATAGATTTCATCTTGAGAAAGAGGGCCATGTTGTATGGACATGGTTTGAAAATGATAAAGGTATATACATTAGAGTTCTCCTTAGAGCTAGCACAATAAGATGCCATGGCAACTGCTAAGCAGCATTGGGAGGTGTTGTGATTAACGTTGGCATTGGAGCATGCAGTCACTGTCCAATCTGTTTACAAGCATTATCTTGACTATCCAAAATCAACAGGTCCCACTAACACAAATAACATGAACCCTTCTAACTGCTAAAACAGTGTTTGGCAAAAAAAAAAAAAAACCCTAAAAAAAGACACTGTTTCTCATCTTTTCATGTTTCTCTAAGATGCCATGGCAACTTTTGAATATTTCATCTCCAAATATTGATTGTATCTAATTTTTAATTACACTAGCTACACTAGTTGTGATGCTTGTAGACTGTAGCTAAATGACATTGTAGACCGTAGTTAAACGCATATTAACAGCTTTCTGTTGGCTCTATTTTCGCCACTCTTGTGTTCTCAAGTGTCGAGGGTGCTATTCAAACAAAAGTGCTGTCAACAAACATGGAAGAACAGTGTCCCTTGTCCAAATGCCTGGTGTCATCATTGTATCAGATGTAATCTGTTAGTTCTCTTGTTTGCCTGCCACAGAGTTTGATTGAATAGCATCTTTAGTCTCCCTTGTGTCATTGCTAGAGCTGAATTTCACTTTTCTTCCAATTCAGCTGTCATCATATGGTCATGATGTGTCATATCTCAGGTTTAATATGCAGGAATGTTAACACTGAAGGCTCATTTTGTATGTCTTTGTGCCTGTTTTCTGTGGAAGCATGACTTGATGTTGTGTTGTTGTGTCTGCTCCAGATACAATACTGACAATGTTTCCTCTTTGCTATCCACCTCCCTTCTTTGTCTCTTTTGCTTTGTGCCCTGCACTGCCTCCTTGCCCCCCCTCCCCTCCCCTCACACCCTTCTTGCTCTTTTTGCACCTGCCTCCCTAGGTGTAAACAGGTGCACGCCCCCCTCATACCCACCCCCCCAGGACCCCCTCAGTGCGGGGCAGTATGAGGTAACGGAGGACATGGCACAAGGAGAGGTTTTTGAATTCAGTCAATCCAAAAGAGGCCAGGCTCCTTTCTGGCAGAATTTTAGTAGATTAGCTCCATTTAAGAAATAGAGATACACAGACTCTTCTGAAGGACCAGCTATTTTTCTTAGAAGCACTAAACACTGGATGATCATGTCCCATGATGAAGAAAAATACAAAAAAACACACATACCCAAGAGACTCCGAAGTTAAGGACCAATGTTAATATAGAGTGTGATTTGAAGCAGCAAGAGGACTGAAGACTTGGATTTAAAAAATTGAGAAAAAAAATAAAACTTTACAATTCATATATGTTAGTAACGTTCTTAGTTATCATGCTTCTCCAGATGAGTCAACTGTCATGAACTCCTTCCCTCGGATTCTGCATATTCACGCCATCTGAATGTCCTGGAGTTATTGAGATTGTTATATGATTTCATTTTTATTCCATCATCTGGAAAGAAACACAAGGCCAAGCCAGGTCACTCCTAAGAGTATGATTGTGTCCAAAAGCTGAGATCTTGCTGTGCTGCTATGTGAGATTGCTTGTTGCATTCTTCTGAATGTGAGATTGAATAATGACGAGCCTCAGCTACCACCTGTGGCGCGGGAAGGACCTGTGAGGCTCGACCGTCAGCGCCACCTCTGAGTTAGATCCATCCCGCCGCTGATCACAGACTGGTCAGGCCATCTCTGCTCTACTGATGTCTGCATCTGGATCTCCCTCTCACTCTCAACGCTCCATCCTCCTTTCTCTAGCTGTCTGCAATATAGTAGCCCTCTCTTCACCGAGTCTGACATTCACAGCGTTTCCCTCCCTCTCTGCATCCCTCTCTTGTCCTCTCTATCTCTCTACCCACCTGCTCAAGCCTCTGTGAGTCAGTGGCTCTCAGAGGAAGAGCTTCATTCTTTTGGAAACCTGCCATTGGCTATGATATGACGGGTCAGGGAACAAATCAATAGTCGGAACATCAATAGAATATTTACGTCCTTTCACCAACCACTTTTGACAGGGTATTCATATCCGATCACGCCGAGGGGCTGTGGGTTGCGTTTGACGGAGAGCTTGCCGCTCAGATGAAACAGCTGGGAGCAGGAGATAGGCAGGCTATACGGTTCACCTGCCTTGTGTCAGAGCCCCTCCCCCACTCTCCCCAGAGACCACCCCTGTAGCACTGTGCTGGCAGCTCACTGGGTGTTTGGAAAGAGCACAGCCTACCTCTGGAAATCCACTGAGAGCTAAAAGTGAAGTTGATGCATTGGCCAAGGTCTAAAATAATATCTTTTTCATATCAGCTGTAAAAACAAAACAAAAAAAAAAAGACTTCCATCAGTTGACTTAATTATTTTGTATTGCTCACACTGTAAAAAGCACAGCACATATTCAGTCTGAGGAGTACTTTTTCTCTCATTTAAGTAGGAGCAATGCAGCAGTGTGAGAAATTAGAGAGTACACTAACCAGCACAAGGGGAAATGGTCAGAAAAATGGCAGACATTATAAATGAACAGGACGACCATATCAGTCTTAAAGTACACGGCAGAAAGGTGAATTTAATCTGTAGCATGCAGGTGTCCTCTGACAGATTCATACGTCTCTAAAGGCTGCAGCTTCCAAATCTTGGCACCCCTCCCCGTCACATTGTTCTCCAGATCTGATCCATGTTCTGGCACTTGGCGCTGGCACTGTTAAGGTGATTTGCAAAGGACTGTGGCCTGTTCAGATTGATTTGATTCTTCAACAAAGTCCCCGAAGCTGCTGTGAGAGAGATCCTCGCCATAGAGTCCTTCAACTGAGGCGTTAGGAAAGAGAAGATCAACGGAGGAGAAACTACCGATTTACACACATCATGAAGGTGTATTCTTTTCTACAGTTGGAATGTAAGTGAAACATCTGTCCATAGTTTGTGATCATATTTTGACCTCAGATACAGAAGTACATTTTGTGTTGAATTATATCACCTGATGGACAGTACATATACAGTATGACAACTTGTGCAATGTGATATATCATTATATATCTTCACTATTCACTGCAACGTGATATGAAAGAGTTATATATCGTTCTATGTCATTTGTTTGCCTTCTTACAGGCCTTATAACCTATTGGAAAAAAGACCTTAGAATTGCTTTGTATGTTGTGTAATTTATGTTTTGTTTCAGTAAAGAAAGTTGAGAAATGGGTGAGTTGGCTGCTGGTGTCTGTAGAGATGGCTCCCAGTGAGATTGTTTTGGAAGATAATTCCCTCGTCTGGCACAGCAAAAAGATATGGTTCCCAGGCCATGATAACCTCAGGTCCCGTGCTACGCCCAACCCCCACCCCCATCCCCAGCTCCCCCACCACCACCTCCCAACTCCACGCCACCACCAGTACCAACATTCAGACACAAGCATGCAGGCTAACACACACACACATAGACACACAGACACATACACACACACACACATAGACACACACACACGCACACACATAATCATGCGCACTTGCTGGCCCGTTCTGCTGCGGAGAGGAGAGATGCTATCTAACAGTGCCTTCCAGCATTCCACTAGTGATTATCTATTCAGTTTCACAGGCAGATTTGAATTAGTCATGTATTTTCCCTTCAGTGTGGGACTTGCATCTCTCTCTCTCTCTCACTCTCTCTCTCTTTCTCTTTCTCTTCCTTTCTCTCTCTCTTTTTCTCTCTCATACATGGGGATTCCTCATTCCCCGGTGCATGAGATCAACTCGGACAGAAACTTAGAGGTCAGGCCTTTTCCATGAGTAGATACTGTGCTGTCTGACTGAAACACTTTAAAACACCTTGTTATATTATATCACACGTACATAGCAGTAATTTTATTGCACAAAAAGAAGTTAATTCTTATTTCAGACGTTTAGAAACTACATAGAGTTCCTTTATCTATTTAACATGCTGAGAGATGGTTTAATTTGAATATATAGTAGGAAACAGATTTTCATTAGTCAAGTTAGGTTTCACATTTCAAAGTATATTATTAACAGTGAGTTATGAATCAAAAGAAGAATCATCTATTTTACCTTTATCAGCTACACACTGTAAATACTGTAAAAAGAACAGATCATATATTTGGATATTGGTATTTTGCGTTGGAGACGAATGTTGTTCCAGTTCTAGCGTGCGGTAGACCTCAGTACCAGGTAAATGCATGCTTGTGGCATCCAATATTTTGCATGAGACTTAAGACAATTCTTAACAGATTGTTTAGTTTCATTTAACTTCCAATGGGATTTTCTTTTTTTATCTTCTTTCCCACAACGTGGAACCATTCATGTGTGAACCCATACCATCTCACTAAAGGGAGTTCTTTTCTCTGTCCACCTGTCTCCTGCTCACTTCACATTACAGGTTGTAGCTTCTGTTTTTATTTATTGTCAAGTAGAGGGGAAACACCTTTTCCTCATGCTGAATCAAAGACTGAACTGTTGATAGGTGAAATGAAAGGCACTGATGCTCTCTTTGCCCAGATATAATGGGTACTATAAACTGTAACATTATTTTTAGACCTTTATTCTCATTTTCTTTTTCTTTTCTTTGACTCCAACCTACACTGTCATGGTCCAAACTGCTGGGGGTTTTTTTTGGTTTGTTTTTTTTTTTTTTTTTTTTTTTTTTTGGAATGGCATTAACAGCTGAGGCAAAACGGGTATAATTTTTCTATGACAACAGAGAACCAAATAGGAGTTAGCACCGATCATGGGTGTTTGTGTATAGATTTGTAGTCAAGCAGAAGAGCTGAATAAATGCGAAACCTCTTGGGATGAGCTAAAAATAAACATAATCCTGAAGACACACACACGCACGCACGCACCCACACACACACACACACACACAGTACTGCATTGCAATTCATATCATGCTCTTGTTTCAGATGGCAGATGATTCTTTGAAGTACAATGACTTGACAGTACAAATTAATTCCTCACTTGTATTTATTGAATGCAGTATTAAATAGCACCATTTTGGCCACATTGTTAAAAGGATGTATATATTGGTTTTATTTTTCTTATATAATTATCAGTCTGACCTTGTACTGCGAGCTGAGAGGACAGCCTTCTGAGCAGTTAATTTTTTTTTTTTTTAATATCTCTTTCCGGTCATAAAACCAAGACAGCCAAGTTAGCAGACTGTCCAGAGTTAGCTCGGATTTCTGTAATTTCTTTTAGTCCAGGGTGTACATCAGCCAGTAACCACGTTCACTTACATTTAGCATAGCGACATCTTCAGTAGGAACTCCTTGTGGTTGGTTATGCAGTCCTGAGTTGTTTCAGAATAGTCAGGGTACAACAGAGTCTTCAATGAGCCATATATCGATGTGGTGTGCAGTGACAACAAGGTAAACAGAAGACTGACATCCCACTTTTGAAATCTATCCATTGTATATTACCATCTAGTTTGAGGTCTGGATTTTTGCCTATCACAGAAGAATTTACTCACATTATCCACATCCTTTGTCACCATATGCAAACATTTGTCATTTTCTTTCTTGCAGCCCTTTGAGTTTGATTATTTGTTGTAGAAATGAAAAACCTTAAAAATAATGCCTATTCAATCCAGAAACTGTGAATGGGAGAGTGGAGATGTCAACTGTATGTACATTATATGTTTTGATGTAATCAGAAGCACTGGGAATATGTTGTACTTCGCTGTAAAAATCAATCCATATCTGATATAGCTGTACTTTTGTTGAAAATAAAACCTCTACAGAACTGCTTGTCAAGGCGTCAAAGTGTGAGTAAGAGCATTGTGCTGGGTTTCCTGTCGTGTGATATCATTTCCTGTTTGTTAGCCCCCCCCATTCCCAACAGCTGACACATTAACTCCTGGACATAACACAAATGAAAGGCCGTACTTAGAATTAAAAACATGAGATTAGATAAGAACATCGTCAGACTGGTGTTCACAAGCCACTTAAGAAAAAAAAAAATTCAACAAACTTCCAACCACAAATTGTACCCTGCAAATAACTACGCTGTAATCAATAAGTAATGAGACTTATGCAAATATATTCTCCCAGTTGGCCGTGCTGAAGTGCTGGCTGATCGCTCCGCTTCCTAATGTTTTGAAGTCCACAGATGCAAGACTGTTTTTCAAGCAAGATCTAAGACATCCCGGTGTGATGCAGACAGTATGTGCGTGTGTGTGTGTGAGTGTGTGTGTGTGTGTGAGTGTTCCTCCAGTTGTGTCTGGATGTCTAAGCAACTGAAGTGAGACTATACGTGATTGTGTAAAGATACTTGTAAAAGGGACAGAGCCTAAGGTTACGCAAAGAGGTATATATAGATCAAAATTGTCCATAAGAAGCCTCAAATGTGGACAAGAGTGATATGCAGTGTTACTGTGGTCTCTAGTGGTCAGCCATGGTGTTACACTTCCCAAGGACATGGAAGATTTTCCAAGACGGAGCCCTTAACTATGATCTGCTGTTTGTGGTTGTAAAAGACACTTCTATCAGCTTTGCAGAGATAAAAATCTATATAAACTTAAGCTATTTAATACATAGATCTACAGGAAGTCACAAAGTGAAAACTTCATAAATAATTAATAAAAAGAAAAAGACTTTATAGCACTGTGACAGTAAAGTGACCTCTAAAGGAACCACAGAAAAATATTACACAGTGTGCACTTTGAGATTGGTTGTGTAAGTATCCGTTATCTCGTCCTACTTGCGGGGAAAACCAGAAATGGCAAAGCCAGAAATTAATTATCCAGTCATGGGTGTAAAGCAACGAGGTAAAAATAAAATTCACTGGACATATCTCTTGACGTTAGCACAGGCATCATATGAGTTCAGAGGTGTCATGCTTCAGGTAGTTTCTCAGGATTATAGGAACGTCCAAACTGTCAATGGCGGGTTCTTTATTAGCACAGGAGATGTGTCTTCGAATTGTCGTCCGAGTCTGAGACATCAGTGTTTTGGGACAAACTGGAGCAGAAACAGAAAAAACAAAGGTAGATCAACATTTGCATTTTCAGACACAGAGCAGCTCTGACTGAATCTACTATGATCAGTGTCTCACCTCTTTCCTTGAGCAGTAAAAGCAGAGCTTCATTCTGCTTTGTAGTCTTGTCAATGATCAGTGTAGGTAGATACACATCTGCCCCAAAGTCTATAAGAAGCTGGATGTACTCCACCCCGCAGCCATAACGGAGACACACCTCCAGAACCGTCTTTGGCTGCTTTATCCTGGCCAGCATCTTCTCATCTGTGCAGTTGTAGTTGGGGTTGGCCCCATGCAAAAGGAGCAGTTTAAAGCAGTCCAGGTGTCCATAAACAGCTGAGATATAAAGGGGCCCTCTGCAGGCTGTGGCATTGGATGCCCACTCTGGTACTTTGGGTCTGACATCCACCTCAGCGCCAAACCGTAGCAGCTCTCGGAGCACATCTACATCACCCTCCCGGGCAGCGGTCAGCACCGGAGAGCAGTTGTTGTACTGGCTGCCATTAGGATCGGCCCCGGCCTTTAGCAGAGCAACCACACAGTCCAGATGTTTCCCGCTGACAGCCGTGAACAGAGGCGTCTGGGCCTTCACGTCCAGGCTGTCAATCTGGATTCAAACACAGGAGAACACCAGCATGGTTTAGCGCTAGGAAACACACTCTGGGCAAATAGTGGTTTGAAGATCCAAGAACTTAAAGTGGCACTAGATAGATGACCACCTCACTAACTTTGTCCAGCTGCCACTTGGTGCTGGGCAGCTAGTTTACAGTGAGTTTAACAGAACTTTTTCACTGAAAACAGCTGTCTAACATCTGTACACAATGTTGATAACAGCAGAGTTACACTGACCAAAACCAAAACTAAAACATGCTAAAAGGTTACAGAGGACTGAGGTCAGCTGCAGAGTTGGGTAACTGTTTTGTTTGGACTTGTCACTACTAGTGATCTCTTTTATATTGCACATAGTCATTTGATCCATAGTTCATATGAAAATATTAATTCAAGCAGCTTTAAAGGACCAATGTGTAGGATTTAGTGACATCCAGCAAAGCGTGTAGGAGAAACTACGGTGGCCTTCAGGTAACGTAAAAACACAAAACAACTGACTCCTTATGTAGCTATGAAAGGCTTATTCTAACTAAAAAAAAAAACACAACAATTCTTAGTTGAAGCTAATTATACATTAATGAAAACATAATTATGAGTTTTAATAGGCTCCCCCTAAATCCTACACACTGTTCCTTTAATGCACAAGGTGTAAAATGTGATGAAAATCTCACCTCTCATTTCTTACTCCTCATTTTTAATAAAGGAAAAAGACCTGCATGAACAATGTGAGAACCTTTCTTGGCTTTTAAATGAAATGTGTGAGCCAGAGTGCAGTATATCATTTTGGTTATTAAATAGGATACTTGTATCCATTACACCCACCAGCAGGCACAGCTGTAGAGTCCCCCTCACCCCCTCCACACCCATTCTCAAAAATCCATCTCATCATCCTCATTTGAAAGTCTTACAACAAACTGTTCTCTCTGAATCTCACCTCTGCACCGTGCTCCAACAGCAACTCCAGGCACCTCAGGTGTCCCAGAGCAGCAGCAGTGCGCAAGGGTGTTACCGGCACCCCCCACCCGCTCCGAGCATTGATAGACCTCCTGTAATTCTCCTGAGACAGGAGCTCAGAGAGCAGAGTCACATCGTCGCTGCTCACGGCATTGTTCAAGGCCTGACACTGCTCATTGTCCTCATCCTCTTCCCTAGGCTGCAGCAGGGAGAAAATCTTAGAAATGTCCATCAAACTCATGTTGACAGCTTGGCCCAGAACCATAATGTAACTCCAGGCTAGTGAAAGTCAAAGCCCCTCCATCTGCAGTGACAGAGAAAGAAGATGATGCACCCAGACACATACACAGCTGAAATACTCTTGTCATTTTGAGTTATTTTTCTTACACATGGTCTTTATCAAGTTTAACCATGGAAGCCCATGACAGTTTCCTACCATGACCATACAGTACAAAGCCAAAGTAGTTTGTTTACATGATACAGTTATTTTATATATGGCAAATCATCATCAAAATAGACAGAGCAGACATAAAACGCGAGGCTTCTGAGTGCCTTTTACTCATAGACACACAAAATGAATACTTTCCCACTGAGTGTCCACAGACTTTGCTCAGTAGAAACAAAGTTACAATGTTTGTGTCAACAGCTGCAAACGGGTGCTTACTGAAACAAGACACTTACCTCACCTTGTTGCTAGATGATGTGATTTCCAGAAATATTCAGTTAAAACCTTTCAAATTTCCATTCCAAGTCATGTGGGAGAAAGAAAGAAAGAAAGAAAGAAAGCTCCTCCAAGTAGTGTGTGATGCTTGTACAGAAGCTGTAAGTTGTGAAAAAGTGCAGTATGTGTGTGTGTGTGTGTGTGTGTGTGTGTGTGTGTGTGTGTGTGTATTAGCCAACAGAGGGGGCAGAGCTCCTTTCTGGGGGGTGGGGGCTAATTTTAGGCCACAGATGGGCCTGGCTAAACTTCCATTCTTGGAGAGTCAAGGCTCAGGTTTATAATTAGAAAGGTGATAGACTTGTGACACTCAGTCTGTGATTGGTGAGTGTGACTTTGTCTTTCCCTGTGTCCCGGATAAAAACAAAAATGAAATGGAGACGTCTGTGTCTCTGTGTCAGTGTGAACCATGGAAGAATTCTTCACCAGCATTTTCAGCGGGTATTAGAGAAACAACAGCCCACAACTGCATTCCCACCCCAACTTCTCAATGGGATGATAACACCAAATAATCTATGAGAAAAGCAGTTTTTTCTGGTCTAGTGTCCTGTTATCACCCTGTCTCCCTGATTCACACCGAGGCAGCCATTTTAGTACGTGTCAGCTGCGTGACTGTCAGAAGTTTTGGAGGATCAGTCAGGCAGCTGTTCCTCTGCCAAACCCACCCATGTCTTCATACTCCCCCATGTCTAGTAGGAAAGCTGCGACACACCACATTCTTTCAGCAGATGGCACAAGAGTCCGGATTCCTGCCATTGTACAAATACATGAAGGACCTTTACTTAGTTATTCATGTATATGTTTATTTACTTCAGCACACAGACATTGAACAATTAAATGTGGACAAGCAAGGTTCAGTTTTAATGCAAACATCCCAACCCAAGAACGGTGATAAAACAAGAGCAATCAGCAATTGCAGTACAATAAAATAGGCTTTTTTTCACAGCGCACATTTTGACTTGTCACAGTAGGAAAAGCACAGGTATTACTAATAGCATTAGGTGTGGCTCCATTCTTTAACCCAGTGTCCCAGTCAGCCATGGCAGAGCGAATATGAGCAAATATCAACAATATCAGAACCTCAAAACCAAAGCAACCATGGGAAATTCAGCCATCCATCACTGACTTCTTTGAAAAAGGCCATAAAAAGTAATCATAAATTTTGTATTATTCATTATTATTATTATGATAATAAAAGTCATGATTTTAAACTGCATCGCCGATATTTGCCATAACCACAATTTCATCCGATTTTGATCACTACTCTTTTTTTATTCTTATAGATGAACCCCAGACAAAATAGCATTATATGTCACTGCCAAGTTATGTAAAGCCAACACATCACCAGCTCAGAATGATTCTGTTCGTACATATGTGATATTGTATCAAAGGTTTGCCAAACGATCAGTTTTTACTTCCCACATTAAAGTTGATTGTAGTAACAAAAAATAATACAGTATTATATATATACAACACCTCAGCCAAAGGAAGTGGACTAATCTAATTATTATTGTTTATTTATTATCAACTGTTTTTATCATTAATATTATTATTATCAACAATGAGCTAATGGACACATTAATTTCCCCTAGGGGATAAATAAAGTATCTATCTATCTATCTATCTATCTATCTATCTATCTATCTATCTATCTATCTATCTATCTATCTATCTATCTGTCTATCTATCTATCTATCTATCTATACACACACATATATATATGACACTGTGAACGAATCAAGTGATATTATAAATAGTAAATAAACTTGATGACAAATTCTTTGAATGGCATCTAAATAATTCTCCTTCATGTGCTCGTGTCGACCACCAGAGGGCGGTAGTGATGCACCGATAGCGGGAAGTGCGGCTGTAGTAAACAGTAAAAGAAGAGGGGTAAACACAGTTGGTTAGAGAGGAAAATCATTTTGTTAATGACTTTTGTTTGTAGTTTCAAACCTTTCAATACTCCACAGAATAGTCTGGCAGGACCGGAAGAAGATACGTGGTTAAGGTACTCGGTTTATTAGCTTTAGATTACCGCTTCACCTTGTTAAACTAACGTCACCACGTAAACGTTAGAATCAGTTATTATCAGGGATTATTACCCTAATGTCGCCGTTTAACTGATGAGACACAATTTAAACCGCTTCCAGGTGTATTTTCTACAATATGGAGGAGGACGCCCTGAGAAGTTACTGCAGAACAATGATTTCTCGTGTTCAAATTAAACAGCAGCACCCATACTCCCCAGCAGAGGAGGAGGAGAGGAGAAATAATAAACATAAAAGAGGCAGAGGGAAGGAGAGGACTGAAACTGGAAGACAAGTTATAGCAGGGGGCGAATTAAGAGATTACAGAGAGAGTAACCTCCCTCTCCCTGACTGTACCAAACGGGACAGACACCAATCCTCCCTCGGCCTCATGTGTCAAGGCCCCGAAGTCCAGCCCGTTCCAATTCAACTCATCTCAATGCTGAGGCTCAAAACCATCAAGGAGGAGATGAGACGGGTCAGGAGACGATTTTATGTGACTCAGTTTTACGATGTGGTCGATATAACTGTAGAAAAATGCCTGATTTCTTCACTCGGTGTGTTTATCTTTTGTGGCAGGCTGCAGAGGTGGAGCTCCATGATCCCGCTGTCTGCAGTGTGTGTGAGCAGGAACAAGCTTTTCTGGCCTTGAAAAGTTTTATCTGGAGGAAGAAGACACAACTGCAGTTCCAAACACTGACGGCCAGACTAAGCACACACATGAACCGCGAGGTAAGTAACTTTAAGTACAGACCAACTCCATGTCATACCTGTCACTAATATTTATGCCAGGTGGACTGGTCTGATATTTACTGACCTAAACAATTCTTCCTCGTTTGTAGGATTATAGGAGTGGGGCGAGTTTGTGCAAAGTTTCCCAAAGTCCTCCGATGCCCCTCACTGGTTTTGGGAGGAACTACTTGGTGAAGATATGCGGGTCACAGCAACCTGGGGTTGCCTTAGCAACCACTAAGGAACGTGGAGTTGCCCTGGCAACAGATGAAATGAGGGGTCACCCTGACAAAAACGCTACAGGAACTCATTTAGCAAGACCTCGATGTCCTTTTCCAGACAGATAGCTGCAGTCATGATGGGCAAAGTATTAATACAATAAAAGAGACAACGTTGTGGTGGAGTCAAACATATTCCTACCTCTTATTTTCACACACAAGGCAAACCCACACATTTGCCCAATAAACATTGATCCATATGTTGACTGTGTAACCTTTTTAAGATACAGCTGTTGATGTTTACCTTCACACCACTAGAACAAGGGTGTAGCCTTTGTTCTGAGCACAAAAGAAGAACATGGTAACAAAGTCAGTACAAAACAGCCATTTATTTTCTTATCACTGTATTAAAGTTAAACACAACACTATCCAAAGCAAGTGAGTCTGGCCTTTTTTGTCCAGTTTGTGGTCACTTGAACACTGTAAACATTAAAACAACATTGTGTTTCATTTAACTTCGCAATTAAAACTATTCAATTTTATATCGGCACAAATAATACACAACAGACAGTCATGGAAGCGCGCATGCATTAAAAAATTAGGAAACACAGTACAATATCTAAGGCAATAAACAATAGCAAGGTGGGCAAAGTTATTTGGACATTTTATCAAGTTCCCTTTTTGCATTATTGCAGTTACAATGTTTAGGGGCTAGTAAACCTACTATGGAAGTCATACAGTTACATATAAACACATCCAAAGCACTAATAAAAACAAACAACAGAATGACATTATTGGATCCTTGATCAATTGTTGACAGATTATTTAACAAGTTACTATTAAAGTGGGGACTGAATGAAGCACAGATCTGTTATTTCAACCATATACTGTTATGTACATGGTTTATCTTCAATCAGTGTATTGGACCAGTTCCCTTTAAACCCTACTGAAGCTGAAGGTGGAGTAGGATCTACTCATCTGGCTTCCTTTTGGGCTTCTTTGGGTTGCGGGAGCGGCTCTTGGCTTTGCACAATGGGCAGATGGGAGCATTACGATGAATTTGCTGATGGCAGGACAGGCAAGCCTGGAGAGAGGGGAGGAAATTTCAGAACAGTTACTTCACATGATGTTTTTGTTGTCTTGTAGAGATAAGCAAGGAACTTAGTCTGGTGGTACCTGACAATGCCTAGCCTTTTATTCATTTACATCTAGGGTTGTTTGTTTTCTTACCATTTTCTCCATGTATAGCACAGTTCAGAGCCAATTACATCTTGGAAATTCACAGTGCCTTTTATTATTAGGAAAGAAATTATCCAAAGTGCAGCTTAATCAGCTGTGACTTACGCCTAAAATGGCTGCTTTTAATAGCTCAGACCATCCACTGACTATTAAAAAAAGAATTTACTTTTACATCCCTATTGAAGGTAGTTAAGGTCAACAGGAGTAATACCTTCATAGGTGGGGGTTGCTGTCTGAAGGTTGCTGTCTGGCGGGCATCTTGCTTCCTGGACACCTGAAGCTGCTGTGCTGCCGCTGCAGCAGCAGCAAGGGATTCTGGGATGGCGGGCTCATGTGGCTCCTTCTGCCACTCGGCTTTCTGCTTCTCGAAGTAACTGTTGAAAGAAAAGAAAGAGAAGAACCCGGCTAGATGCGATTCTTATTTAGAGCTTATCTATGCTGTGTATGGAGGGATGGAATTGGAGAAAATAATAGTTGAGCTGATATCTTCTTTTTACGTTCAACTGTGAGCAAAAGTACAGTCATTGTGAGAGTGTTTGTCTGCATGCATGCGAGTGTGTCTCTGTGTGTGTGTGGGCAGGAGAGGGCTGGGAAAGAAATTTGGCCTTGGACTTTATGCCTGACTGGCCCATTTTCAAAAAAAAAAAAAAAAAGTGATATCCCATTTCATTACGCTCTCTGGTTTCTCTCAAAATAGGTTTATGATAGAGAAGAACTTTGAGCATTCCCAGGACAAATTTAATAGGTTGTATTTCCTGTATCAAAGCCTATTTACAAGCACTACATTACCACACTCATTACAATAATTCATGGTTAATAGAAGTTTATTTGATACAGATGATATATCATTCTTGTTTTCATATAAGTTAGTATTTCAGTTGGGATTTTTTTTTCTTTTTGCTATTACTGAGGTGTAGAGTGCTCTGTTTTGTGCTGATGTATCACTCTCGCTGAGTAGCTTAAAATGTACCTAACACTCCACAGGCCTGTGAGGTGTGACTTAATTTTCTCCAAAGTTGTTCCATCACACCTTGTAATACAATTGCAGTAGGCACTATTACTATTACGTAAAATGACTCTAGAATGACTTTGCTGGCAGCAAAATGTGAGTGATAGTTTTAACATCTCCCCACACACCATCATAAAGCTCTCTCTGTGATGAGTTCTGTCCTCAAAGAAAAACCACTGAAGAACAACAGTGGACAAGCCACAACTTTCTGACTATCTCGTAAACTCAGGGAACATTCGAGGAGCATGCCACCATGAAGGCAAAGGGAGATAACTACCACCTGGTCAGAAATGAACTCATCCAAGCTTCCACACAGCACAAAGCCTGAGAAGTCAGCCTGCCAACAATGCTGTCAGCTTGCAGAGCAGCAGTGTTTCAGCACTCTGCCTCAAAACTAAAGCTCTTAATTTTTATGGGTGAAACGATTCTAAAACCGTGAACGAAACCACAATCTTATATAGCGATACGGATAAGGGAACCAAGATACCCCAGCCCTGACCCACTGCCACTGCTGCAGCTGTTGACCTCTCGTAACTTCACTAATGTAACAAAAACTAATTGTGTTAAGATAAAAAAAAATTTTAATTAGTTTGGAGAATTGTTATGCCACTATTTATTCATTAAGGAAATTTGCAGTACATACAACATCCTACCCAACAAAAATGAGAAGTTAAAATTCATTTTTTAAAATCCCCTAAGCACTTCTGAGTTGGAAAAAAATTCCAAAAGTGAGCAGGGATGTCATGTCTTTACAGCCATACCTGTGACTAAGACATCAACTACTGTTAGAATCATTTCTGTATTTTAGCACAATGTACAATAGAAGAAAATAATCTCAGATAAAAAGGATTTCTCTATAACTGTCCTAACATACACTTGAAAACATGAACATGACCCTTGGCCCTCTTACACCCCTCCCCCATAAATAACCCAGTCACTCGTCAAAAAGGCTCCTGGCCAGTTGCACACTGCTCTGTATTTAGAGCTTGAAAGAGTCATTCACTGGGTGTTTCTCTTTCTCTATTTAACTCTCCTACAAATCAAAACGTGCATGATGAAATTAACAAAAGCTAACACTTGGGATACCTGACTCTCCTAATCCACCACTGGGATCAACCTCACTTTCATATTGTAGCACAAACTACTAAGATTTGCTCTATAGTGAACTGTGCAATCATCCACTATTGACGCTCGTCAGAGAGCCGTTCGTGAGCTCGGAGTCTACCTGCCAGCCCTCTCTGTGTGCCAGCAATGTGGTGGATAACAGCATCTTTGTCAGTTTCTGGAGCCAGAGAATTTGGACAAAGGGGAAAGTTAGTTTGATCTGAATTTCTGAATAGGCAGACACACATGTCTCATCAAGAGAACCCCTATCAGAAAACTTGTCTTTAAGCTTTAAAATATTCAAAAGGTCCTCAATGTTACCACCTAGACATGTTAAAGAATGTAAAATTAGCTACTGAGACTCTAACATTACATAAGGAAAAAATATTTTTTTAAACATGCAGAGTTTTTGATAAGTACTTCTACTGCTATTTTTCCATTTACTCCTCATGGTACCTAGTCTCACAGACATTGTAGTGTTGATTTAATAGGTCAATGTTTTAAGATATTTGCTGCTTCTGTTGCCACCACCAGTACAATGGAAGTGATTGAAATGTGTATGGTGCATCAAACATAACTTTCAAGAAACAATGTCCCACTTGCTTGAGATATTCCAGAGATTTTACAAGGGCCATGGACATCTGGCCAACATCCCATAAAGATCAGAGACTAAATAATAAAATCAGACAAACCATTCCGGTTTTTCAGACCACTGACGGCCACACAGTAAGATTATCTCCCACTCAAAGGATATTCCCTCAATGTAGGGAAGTATCTGTCTCATAACCAAACTGCATCAAGTTTAAGTTCTCCATCACACTTCAGCTTCGCTCCATCTAGCAGTGACTTGAGAATAAGCTCCACCCTGTTATCTGCACTTCCCATCCTCACAAAAAGACTACGACACACTGACAAGAGGGCAGGGAACTACAATTTGCCTTTGACATCTGAGCAGTCTGATCGGAGCATAGACATCTCTACTAGGCAGTAGTCCCAGATTCTCATGACCTACAACCATCCCGTCATTGCCACGGCGACATTCCAAGATTTTGGTTACGCAGCTAAACCAGCCACTAGCGTATGTGACTGCTGTAACATGTACTATCCCTCACCACCCAACATGACTGTCAGGAAAACTATTAACTGTAGCTATTTATATGCATGCTTTGATTACACATTTACTATTGCACAATGTTACACTACATTGGTCAAACTGCATTTTCATTTTCAGGTTAACTCAGAAATCTGCTCAATTTCTTCCTGGAAATGTATAACAACAAGACAAGGATTAACTCATGCCCCCAACTTAATATCTTATCTCTTAAATATCCACAATGATGGTGTGTCAAATGGCTATTGTACTTTCTGTTTGCAGTACAGATTCAGTTTTTAAACTGACTATTTAGCTTGCTCTTTTGGAAGATTTGTCTGCTTTAATCTACTTTTTAAGTATTTACAAAACACTACAATTCAGGTAGCTTAAAATGTCTTTGGGGAAGATGAACGAAAGTGAATAGAAAGTGACATTAAAATCATGTAAATGTCAGCTTTGTGTTTAACAGTCCTAATGACTTCACACCCTTGCCTTGACACCTTGTCCTGTCTGATCTTCTTCATCACTGCTCCCTTCCACTTCTTGTGGTTAAATTTAAATTTACATATCTCGTCAGTAACATGAATTATTACTTGTTAAATGCCTGTAATTGTTTCACTTGCCCTCATGATTGCGGATGGGAATGTAACGTTTACTTAGGAAACCTTTTTAAGAAACGGGAGATGCTTGGATACAAAATAATAACCAGTTTGAACCACTAAATATCAGGGTAGCACCACCTGACACATTCCTGCTGTAGGGACACGTTGTAGTTTAGTTCTTACTTAATTTGAGGAAAGTTGCATCTCTATTCTTCCTCTTGGCAGTTACAGTGCCACCACATTGGTGTCATGCCACAACTGCAGTTCCAAATTACAGAATTCAACTGATTGAAACACTTGTTTTCGGTTTTCATGAAGACACCCTTTCGGGAGTTTTGTCGAGAGCTGGAGACGGCACAAAATTTGACAGAGGGCAGCCGCCTCGTAATTCTGTGGTGTGCCACAAAGCTCAATTCTTGGATAATTTTTCTTTGTATACTTTATGCTACATTTATCTGCACTGTCATGTATAATTACACAATATCAACAAAAGTACTTATTATGTCCCTGTGAGCTGATTGACTTTAGACTTTGCACAGTACACAATTTCAATATGAAGATACTTGTCTCTAATGCTTGTTCATAGTACTTCAAGCATCACATTCTGTTCTGCAACACTATGATGATGCGCACTGAAATGTCATCTGTTGCGGCAATCACTCTGTGAGGCATGCAAATCAAATGTACCTTGACTGTGACCAATTAATATTTATATAGTCAACTAGCTGCTATATTTTCCCCTTTCCCTTTGCACTGGAAGTGAGCTTCTGTTGTCTTTGTGTCATACTTTATATAGGAGAATCTGTGTGGTTACACTGAAGATGTGCCATAAAGACAGTATTTTACATTTACTTTATTTTGTGTTTGTGAATGACGTGAAGCAATGAAGTTATAAAGTTAAAATGAAAACTGTTCATTGCATGCTTAAGCGTATCATACACATGTTGAAAGTTACCTTTAATATGTAGTCAAAAATACTTTTATAGGTATTCTGATGTACAACATGCGTCAAAAATGGCTTTGAAAACCTGTAACCTATGTTAATAAGAAACTTTCATGAAACCTAAAGATGACATAAAACATGTCTGTCAACTGCATCAAGCAACATCTGTTCAAAAGAACTTCAGTGTGCCTTGCATGCTTTTTGTGTGTGAGTTTGTTTATGTGTATGTATACTTACTCTAAGGAGAGCTTCTCCTCTTCTTCATTGAGGTTAGGGAGTCTGTGTAGACCTAAAGTCATCCTGAGGGCATCAACATGCTCCTTCAGAGGTTTGTACTCATCATGCAGGCGGCGAGTTGTTTCTAGCAGCTTATTCAGGTCATTCTCCGACTGCTTGATGGTGCTCTCCATCTGAAAGGACAGGATTAGATATTTGAGAAATGTACATGAAATATGCTCAGGATAAACTATTTGTGTTTGCCTAGACATTGTGTATTTAACACTGATAATATTACTGGCACTGAAATTGAATCCACAATATCTTTATTATTTATTGTTGGTCAAACATTTCTATTGTCAATACCATTGCTGAATTGTACTCATCTTAAAGCTGAACTGAGATTTCAGTCACACTTCCTCTATAGAGGCTTCTTTTCTCTGTGTAGCACTCACTCACCACATTGATATCTGCATGGATGAGCCGCAGCTCCTCCACGTGTGCCATTTTCTCTTGTAGAAGGAGATCCATCTCCTGTTTGTACTCTTTGAGATGTTTCTCCTCGGACTCCAGAGCCTCAAACTCAATCTTCAGACGAGACTTGATTTTTTGCATCTGGATAGTCTTGTTCCTGAAGCGAGTGGCACAGACAAGAGACAGCAGCTGTCAGATAATCTTTCACACAGATGCGAATAAGAGATTTTTTTCACAAAAACAACAAAATTTAAACCAACACACATTCTTTTCCATCATATATGCATTGCTTACAATTTGTGCAAATTTAGTATAAACCTAATAGATGTTCTGCATTAATGTCAAGCGGATTGCCCAATTACTCCAGCCGTGAACTAATCTGTTCTCTTACTTTGTTATCAATTGTTGCAAAGAAGACACAATGGTAAATAAACACCATTCTGCCACCGTGAAGTGAATTATTGACAGACCGCTAAGCCTGTAGCTAAGTAGTTAGCTTACCCACAGCAATTATTGGCAGCGCACATCTGGCATTTTGTTGATACACATCTGGATTGTTGATATGTCTTTGAAACGAACATGCACCCTATCTACAGCTCGTGTGTATTCATCTGTTATTTAACCTGTAGCAATTGTCTGGTAAGCCTGTCGGAGACAAGCTAACGTTACACAAGAGGAGCAAAAACCTATTGAAAGGGTTCACAGCAGACCGGCTAATGTTAGCTAGCTCAGCAACAAAAGCGAAGCCTGGGGCTTATTCTTGGCCGGCTAACGTTAGCTAACATAATGTACACAGTCGGTGTCAAACATCTGGCAACCACTGATTTCATTCCACGACCAAGTCTTACCGTATTTCCAAGATATTTTCTAATTTGCACATTATTTCTTGTTCGTCCGCCATGGTTTAGCGGTCCCTTGTCTTTCAGCTGGCTGGCTCTGTTACCCGTAAGGCCACGGTGGTCTCCTTGTTGATAAAAACACAATAGCCCGGGTGAACGCGCACACGAGCACGCGCCCGCAATGTGAAACCGTGGCTACGTGTAGTGAGTAGTACCACGCACTCTGCCCCACACACAACCTGTGAGTCAACTGGTATCCACTGTCCCGTAAACTATCTTTTACACCGTGATTGAAACAACTTCACTCCAACAATTACATTAAATGTTACATTTAGTAAATTAATGAATAATACTTGATTGAAAATACTGAATAGTGAAGGGGGAAAGAGGGGAAACTGAAAATATATCATGCTCATCTCAAGGGAAAGTATGGAGTAAGTTCCTCTCTAATTATTATGTTAGCTATCAGGGCTGTAGCTTGTGATGGAAAAAATATTACTTAATTGAAAGCAGCAATAAGCCTACCTGAAGGAAGAAATACTCTAGGTAAAAGAACTACATTCATAGTCTTTGTCAGTGTATAATATAGTAATAGATTATTATTATTATTATTATTATTATTGTCATAACCTGTTTCTACCAAGCAGCATTTTAATGTAGCTTGAGGTGGAGCTAATTTAACTATTTTACATAGTTTTGAGTTGTTTATTCTATAAGAGTGGATTGTATTTCATAAGCTGATGCCCCAGTTTTTATGCAAAACATTAATCTATGTTCTATGTAAATGTAACCAATGACTACTTTTCTATAATACGTATAGTGGATTAAAAAGTCTGATACTTATATCTGAAATATCAAAGTAGACGAAGTATGATAGCAGTGCTCAAGTAAAGTGCAAGTACCTCATAATTATAGAAGTACTATAAGTACTGTTATTGAGAAAATCTACATAGTAATGCTCCACCACTGCATGGAGGTCATATCTTTAGTATGTTTTCCTGGGAATTTGGAGACCTGAAGATTATAATTTGTTATAGAGTCTGTCTTTGAATTTGCCTTCTAAGCAATACATAACTTTTATTGCAAAACATAATTATCTGCAGGGGTGGGGGAGGGTTTCTTGAGCAAAATGCTGGTTAAAGCCTTTGTTAGAGACCATAAACACTCTCTTGTGTACAATATGAGCAGTTATTGACAAGCATACAACCAAACACACCTCCACACCAACCGCAAAATTAGTGTGTGCCATAACAACATATTGTTAAAATATTAACTGGAAGGATTATATGATTAGCAGAATGTGCTGGCACCTTCACTGATACTGGAACATCGGTTGCTGCTGAGTAACTGTTGATTTCTGCCCTTCTATGAATAGGTTTGGGGAGACAAAGACCATGTCTAGGTCCTCACTGAATGAGTTACTATCAAAACCTAATCAATGTAAGAGGAAAAGTGGTTACTGAAAAAGAAGGCTGTCTGTCTAAAGTACGTGGGCCTCAGGTTGCCATTGGATTAACTAAGAGAGAAGTACTTGGGAACAATACAATGGTCCATTCTCATTCAGTTTAATCCTTGTAGGTATTGCAAGCAGTTTCATATGACTCCGCAGAGAAAAGGTTTCTACAAGTACCTCTCTGAAGAAGTATTTCGACTAGAGATTAAAAAAATACAAATGTCAACTGTAAGTAGCTATCTTTCATTGTTTATAGCTTCATTTTCACTGTGTTTCATGTTTGGTTGAAATGTTTAAATTGCAGCTGTAGTGGTTTGGCTATGAACCTACTCTGTAATGTAAGGGCTGCAAGAAGGCATTAGTCCAAAAATGTGTTTGTTTTTTTTTCAGAGAAAAACATATGATGATCATATGCAGTTGCCAGATGTTTCTGATTTGTTGTGTTTGTGTTCCTGGATTTATTGTAGTGTTGTCATATTATCTACATAAACAAAACATAAAGTTAAGCTTTCTCTGCTTGTTCTCATAAATATTCACTGAAACAGTCTGTTGAGCAATGCTTACAACTGCCAGCACATTATTATGATTAGTGTTATTATTATTATTGTTGTTATTATTATGGGCACTGATGGAAGGCTGCCTTGCTCATTAAATCTCGGAAAAGGTTATGAGGAGTGGAGTGAAAAATTTGTCATCTATGCTGCTTTTTTCGTTTTTTTACAAGCCAGTCTGTGCCAAAAGTTGCAAATATCTACTGTATATGGTTTGATACTATTATGCAAGATTAACGTTAAATGGGTCCATTGATTACACCCTTTCGTTAATACTTATGCATCATGGAATGAACTCCATGTTCTCAGATAAATCTAAAATATACTGTGGGCTTCATTTTTTGATTGTAGTCCCCACCAACCTCTTGCGATTGGATGCTCCTGGTTGAACAGAAGAATGTAAGGAACCTCATCTTTTTGGTCATTTTGCTATCAAAAAAAACAAAAAAACAACAACAAATTGTTTCAAAGAACAACCAAAGTTATTACAGAATTAGTAGTGCTCTTTCTCACTCAGTTGTTGCTCTGCATGCTCCTTGATGCTTCTCCAGTGGCACAGATGATTGAACAGCGGGGATCTCTTCCTCCCGTATCTCCTGTATATCCTCCTGTGTGCGTGTTTTCTCTGGCAGATAAATGTTCGTGTTACGACCATGGACGCTGAGCTGGAGTTTGCCATCCTGCCCAGCACAACTGGCAAACAGCTTTTTGACCAGGTACACACTGTGCCATACAATCAGACAGGAACTTTGGCAGGAAAAAATATGCTCATGTACTACTTGCTATGTTTAGATAGTGAAGACAATCGGACTGAGGGAAACCTGGTTCTTTGGCCTCCAGTATCAGGACAGCAAAGGCTTCTCCACCTGGCTCAAGCTCAACAAGAGGGTGAGGAGAAAGTTTGTGTCTCAACTTTACACACAGAACCTCATATACCTGATATAAATGACGATGTTATCGTTAATATTTTTCTGGTGATGTTACTACATTACCCCATTGAGGCTAATTAGTACCCTTGTCTTCATTCTGGCATCCCGCTGCTGTGGGGGGGGGCCAATCCCAGGTGACAGCCCAGGATGTGAAAAGGGACAACCCTTTGTTGATTAAGTTCAGGGCCAAGTTTTACCCTGAGGATGTCGCTGATGAACTGATCCAAGAGGCAACGCAGCGCCTCTTCTTTCTGCAGGTTGGACATGAGTGCACATGAATACTGATGTTTTTAAAGGGAATCATGCTGTAATTTTGCACCTGTGAAACATGAGGTTGTAATGACGGACTTTGCTAATCATTCATTTCATTAACCGTCTGAATGAGATTGTAGCATTGTTTTGTTTTTATGCCATGCACACAATCCACATTCTTAAATTTAACCATGTATGCAGAAAGGGACTTAAAGTTGATGCAACAACAGCAATTATTTAGACACAAATGCAAAATGTAGTTTGGACAAACGTGGATATCACAGTGTAAATAATGCTGTGTTATACAAGTGTGGTACCCTTAGGATGCAATGACAAGTAAGTAATCTCAATCAAAACAAAATATTTAAACCTATCTTAACGACCAGTGAGAGTTCCCCAATGAGTCACACGGATAATGTTAACCCTTGTGGGTTTTCCATAAGGGAGCAAGTACATGCTCACAAAAAATGAATCTAGGTGCATGAAATAAACACCAGAACACAGTATCAATACAACAATGTAAAAATTATGACATCATTGAATGATTAATACTGAAGCATCAGTGTGTCAGCAGCATGTTAGCTGCTGCAGGTGGAGCTAGTTTGTAATTCTTTATATGCAGTTTTATATACAGGGTCATCAGATAAATCTGAGGGGTCGTGAGGTGATTAATGAGAGGAAAGAAGAAAAAACAAATGTATTTTCAGCCTTTAGACTTTTTTTCTCATCTTTGAGACATTGGATCATTTGAACATTTATTGAAATGAAACCATGTGAGAAGTTCAGAGGGAAAAATCACTATTTGATCGAGCTGTTAGCAACTCTTAGACATCTGAAATGTGACACCCCCAACCACACACTGCTTTTTGTAAGACATCAGAAGCCAAAAAGGTTGTGAAACCACTAGTTTAATGTTTAACAATGTTGTTTTTTAAAAAACTTGTTATATTATCCATTGTGTAAAATCTTCGTCTTAAAAGTAACAACAGCTTTCAAATAAATGTGGAGTTGAAAATACAATTATCCCTCTGAAATGTAGTGGAGTATTGTACAAATTAGCATAAAATGGAAATATGCAAGTAAAGTACAACTACTTCAAAATTGTAGTTGTACAACATGTACTTAATTACTTTCCATCACTGCCAGAACATATAGGGTTTCTCTCTCTGTGAATCACATTAACACTATGACTATGATACACTTACATAAGACAACATTATAAAATGTACGGGATTCATGTATCATGTCTTTCTGTCTTTTTTCTGTGGTAAAAAAGGTAAAAGAGGGCATCCTAAATGATGACATTTACTGTCCACCTGAGACTGCAGTGCTCTTGGCCTCATATGCAGTTCAGGTCAAACATGGAGACTACAGGAAAGACTATCACGTACCGGGATACCTGACAAGAGAGAAGCTGCTGCCACAGAGGTAGAGTCCTGTGCATATTAGTGTTAACCAAAGGTCGCCTTAATTCTAGTTTTCATTGTCTGAATTCTAAATGGTACGCCCTCTTCACTGATAAAACCAGGGTTTTGGAGCAGCACAAGCTGAATAAGAATCAGTGGGAGGAAAGAATCCAAGTGTGGCATCAAGAGCACAAGGGACTGCTGAGGTACTGAAGCAATATACTTAAAAAAAAGTCATTAATACATTTTTTTTGCAAGCAGGTGTTCTGTAGCTCATTAAATTATTCCACACCACAGAGAAGACGCCATGGTGGAGTACCTGAAGATAGCCCAGGATTTAGAGATGTATGGGGTCAACTACTTCAGCATCAAGAACAAGAAAGGATCAGAGCTGTGGTTGGGAGTGGACGCCCTGGGTCTCAATATCTACGACAAAAAGGACAAGTAAGTCACAATTTACAAGTCAAGCTTTATTTTGTATTTAGCGCTAAGTAGAAACTTTTAGAATGTGAACATACAAGATAAAGACGATGAAAATGGTACACTTGTTGTGTGTTGTTATTGTGAGTTTGATACCACTCAACTATACCACCTTCATGCCATAACCATATTTCAACTGTGTGTAAAGAAGCTATACTAGCTCTACTGTGGACCATACTCTAACGGTTAACCATACCAATATTTTACAGGATGACCCCAAAGATTGGCTTCCCCTGGAGTGAGATCAGAAACATTTCCTTCAATGACAAGAAGTTCGTCATCAAGCCAATCGACAAGAAGGCTCCGGTATTCCATTACATAGCTATTAGTCATCCTCAATAGTGATCTGCAGCTGCTACCATTTCTATAAAGCATATCATTACATGAAATACAGTACATGGCTCTTCTGCTGCCAGGACATATTAAAAAGTAGTTCATTTTGTGGCTATTTTTCCTACGTACCAACAGTCAGACAAAACTGGATGCCCCTCTGTGCAGTTTGTTGGTATGTTGAACTATGAGATTACCTTGGTTCAGCTCGTGTATGGGTGTTTGTGGATGGGATTAAATAATAGCTACTCCTTCCCCAATGCTTAGGGATAAATGCTTAGTACTAATTATCCTAGCAATAACAATTATTAGCTAAACATTTTTACAACTGCATGCAAGATCCTGCAAATACTTTTTCAGAGATATGCCTATTCATAGTTATTTACTGTAGCTAGAAACAGGAGGTCTCAGAAAGCCCTACATCCTTGTTACAGGAAAAATTTAGCAAGTGCATGAATTACAGCGAGCAGTGAAATGAGAGCAGCTGGTATTTGATTCCATTCACAAACATGAGTTTAGCCCCTCAGTTCAACTTGCCCTCTGAATGCATGCACAGATTTAAGGAAAGCATCCAAAGGTTTTGGGAAAAAAAATAATTAAATTCCTCCAAACCTGAACTATCCCTTCAGGTTATTTAAACTCAAGCCTAAATGTAAAACAGATGGGATGTTGATCATGAGTCATGAATAAACCCCTTGGTGATTTTTTGTGTTACAGGACTTTGTTTTCTATGTACCTCGCCTTCGCATCAACAAACGTATCCTTGCATTGTGTATGGGAAATCATGACCTGTACATGCGCCGACGTAAACCTGACACCATTGAGGTGCAGCAGATGAAGGCTCAGGCCAGAGAGGAGAAGAACAAGAGGCAGATGGAAAGGTAAGGAAAAAAAGGAAGTAATGAAGGCTCTTTTAAAAAAAAAAAAACAACAAAAAAAAAACACTTTACAGTGTGTTCTCTCTGCTTTTAGAAATAACAGTCAGGAGATATAGTTTTTTCAGAATTGTATTTATGCACAATTCTCCTGTCAGGGCTCTGCTTGAGAGTGAGAAAAAAAAGCGAGAAAATGCTGAGAAGGAAACAGAGAAGATTGCCCGTGAGACCATGGAGCTGATGGAGAGATTGAGACAGATTGAAGAGCAGACAAAGAGAGCTCAAGATGGTCTGACAACTTTCTGAATACAAATGTTTCTCAACTGGAGTTTTATTATTGCTGTTTAATATTAAATGAATGGCATAGTATATTGAAATATTTTTGAATGCAGGATCTTTAAAGCTTATACTATGTGGGCATGTCTGCATATGTGTGTTGGATGTTTGTGCGCACGTGTGCGTGTGTATTCCAGAGCTGGAGGAGCAGACTCGGAGGGCTCTTGAGCTGGAAAAAGAGAGGACAATTGCTCAGGAGGAGGCGGAGCGCCTGGACAAGGATCGCAGAGCTGCAGTGGAAGCGAAGGCAGCCCTGCTCCATCAATCTGAAACCCAGATCAAGAACCAGGAAAGCTTGGTACTCATACACAACACATTTTCATTTGAATATATTAACATTGCTGTAGGGTCCAGATTATCAAGGATATTATGGTACATTTACATATATTGAGCAAGACCCCAAAGCTACTTATTGATGTGATTAAATGATACTATAAATAATTCTGCGTGATAGTATATTTACCCTTTACCAGAAAAATTGATTTACATTTTCAGCTTGAACTGATGAGAAATTAATTGGAGCCGTGATGCTGCATACGAACACATACAGTACATGCCCACACAGACACACATATATTCTCTCAGACACACACACGGGCAGAGCACAATGACCTTATATCAGGAACACTCTTAACTCTCTTCCCATTTGTGTGCGTGTGTGTACAGGCCACTGAGCTGGCAGAGCTTACCTCTAAGATCTCCCAGCTAGAAGATGCCAAGAAGAAAAAGGACGAGGAGGCAAAGAGGTGGCAGAAAAGGGTGAGAATTAATCAAAGAACCATGAGAGAGGTAAAGGATGAATCAAACATGAGCCAAAAGGGATGTCTGACACGACTAAGTGTTAAGCCCAGGTAAAATAGGAGCAAGGCATCAATCACAGGCAAGTACAATCACCAGACTTTCAAATTGTGATTGTATGATTTTTGGGGGTGTCAATATATTGTCACATTTCACAAACCTCACCTACTATGAAGCCAAGAACAAACAATTAAATGTGCAAATTGTATGCAAAAAATGTACCCGAAAGTGTATACAAAACTTTTCATACAAATAAGCAGTACTATGCTTGACTTGCATGTAGTCTTCACATGTACCTCCGGCAAGGTGGTTGTGTTTTCACCCGTGTCGGTTGGTTTAGTCGTTTGTTTGTTTGTTTGTTTGTCACCAGGATTACACAGAAAGTACTGAACTGATTTGCATCAAACTTGATGGAGGGATGGGGCATGGCCCAGGGAAGAACCCAAAAAATGTTGATGTGGAAATTAGGGATTTTTTGACATTTTCATCAGTTTGTCAATAAATAGTGTATAGATCTTGATGTTAAAAATCAGATATATTAATGTTGTTGAAATCTGAGTTTCTACAATTTGGTGGAATTATAATATGTAATACTATAATACTGTAATACTATGTTTTATGACAAATACATCAGACTACTTCCGTCTTACTATATGCTTCTATTATTAGAGCTAGACACACTTGTGTAGGAATTTTTTGGCTTGGCTCAGCTACAGGCTCTACTGAGTGCCATTCTTGTTAGGTAATACTGCAGCGTTATCCTTATTTATATTTTCTATTGAGCATGGGAGACTGTTGCACTCAATGCTGACAAGTCACTTGATTCACAGAGGACAACAATTTTGCTAATTACATAGGGGACAGATTCTTTTTTAGATAGCACTTAAATGGACAGCTAAAATTGTAGTGGGTAAAAGGACCTCACAGACGTTCATCAAGTTAGATTTTAGTTTTCAAAAACTGGATAAATGTATCTCAGTGCAGGCATACAAATCATTTTGTTAGAATAGGTTCCCCAAATTTCAAATTGTGCACATCATATTCTGAATGAATTCTAGTAGGCTAATTGCACTGAAGTATCCAAACACAGTGCTTCACAAGTCATGTGTGTTGACAGGCGATGATGGTGGAGGCTGATTTGGAGCGAACCAAAGACGAGCTGAAGACTAAACTCATGGGTGTCCACATTCAGGATTCAGTCCACCCCCACATGCATGAGCATGACGAGACGGATGAGAGCAGTGCAGAGGCGAGTGCTGAGCTGACTTCTCCAGGCATGGTCCGAGATCGCAGCGAGGAGGAAAGAGTAACAGAGGCCCAGAAGAACCAGAGACTGCAGAAAAACCTCAAGGTAAGGTTAAGTGGATAGAGGGAAATGTCTTATTGTATTGATTTGCTGCTCTCTTAATCCCTTTTGGTCAGAGGTCATGTTCAGCTGGAGTTGATCATTCCTGGAGGAGGTGCCCTGGAGCTTTTAAGAGTGCAGACAAACAAATCACCAAAAGCCTTCAATATTTAAATGTAAAGGTTCAGTGAATAATGTGTTCTTTAAATTAGGAACCACCACAGCTGAATGCTGAGTGTCTATTGAAACTTACTCTAGCTCCAATGAGACAAAACTGAATTAATATTAAGACACACCATCTCTCCTGAAATAAAGAGTGAATATATTTTTAGCCATGGCGGTTGGTAGGTCCAGACTGAAATATCTTAAAAACTAGAGAATGGTTTGCCATGACATTTTCTATTTTGATATTCTTGGTACCCAGGGGATAGATCCCGAAGCTCTGGTGATCCACTGCCCTTCCCTCCACCACCATCATTTGATATTTTTGATTTTAAACTAAATGTCTCTAAACTGTCGGACGTTATCGGCATGAAATTTGGTACGCACATTCATGTCCCCCTCAGGATGAATTGTAATAACTCTGGTGATCCCTTAACTTTTCCACCAGCGTCAGCACCAGTTTTTTATCACAAAATGTATGACATTCCCCAACAGCAAATGGGAATGTTAATGAATGTTAGCATGTAGCTTACCTGTGGTGTGGCTTCAACTGTGAGCATGTTAGCATGCTAACGTTAGCATGTAGCTTACCTGTGGTGTGGCTTTAGGGATGACAGTGTCGGTCCGTCTGTCAGCTAATCCACTACTACAGTCTGAAATATCTCATGGACTATAAAATTGATCACCATGAAAAATTTTACAGACATTCATGGTCCCCAAAGGATGAAACCTGACTTTGGGGATCCTCTGAATTTTAGCACCACTGTGAGGTTGATATTCGTGGTTCATAAAGAAATATCTTGACAACTTTTGGATGGATTGCTGTGAAATTTGCTACAGATGTTCAGGGTCCCGAGAGTTAAATTTGAATGACTTTGGTGATCCCCTGAGATTTCATCTAGTGCCATCATCAGATCGAAATTTCCATTTGCCCAATATATGCTTTATGAACAAATACATGCTTAACGCGGGGGCCTATATGAACTGTCAACATGTTAGCAATATCACTGTGAACAAGTTAACATGCTGACATTAGAATTTACTTCAAATCACTGCTGTCCCTAAACTCAACATCACAGAGTCACTGGTGTGGCCATTGACTCTTAGTCTTGTTTCCATAGAATTTCAGGCTCTGACAACAAATTGTGTTTAAAATAACTGTTTTATTCAGAAGATACCAGGCTTAATATGAGGTATGGAGAGTATGCTTGAGTGACACTCAGCTGTGGTGGCTGCCACTCACTTGTCACTCCTCATACAATTTGTGGTTTGAAAACCACATCTTTGTTGCTGTTGTATTAAATTGTTTTGGTACATTAACTGTGTCATCTGCTGACACAGTCATTTAGAGGTTTTGACTTAGCTGTGAAATTGGCAGCTTAATTGCCACCAAAAATTGCATCTCACTAATAATTCAGTGCACAGAATAATTAAACATTGGTGCAGGTACATTATCATTCTTCTGGTTTCATTCACGTTGCGAATCTCATACAGACCAGGGCCTATCACAACCGAAAATAAAATTGGTCTCTATCTCACAGCCAAAACAAGATATGATGTTGCATAGAGGATTCAACACAAAAATGGACTTAATAACTATGGACAATAGAGTGTTTTCAGATGTGGATTGGGATGAGTACAGGAGTGAGGGATAAGGCTTCTGAATAGTCTCCTAAAGAATCTCAGGTATGAGGATTTTATTCACTGTGTGTTTGCGTTCTCTTTTAGTTCCTGAGCTCCGAGCTGGCTGGAGCCGTAGATGAGAGCAAAAAGACCCCAAATGACCTGATCCATGCTGAGAATGTGAAGGCGGGCCGGGACAAATACAAGACCCTACGTCAGATTCGTCAGGGCAACACCAAACAACGCATTGATGAATTTGAGTCTATGTGAGAAAGTCTACTCAGACTGAAAGCAGGACCAGGATAGATGATGAATTGGACACATTGACAAATTTTAGAAGTGTAGGTGCAGACAGTTGCATAGATAGTAAATTAACCTGAAGGTGAATATGACATAAAATGATATTGATACTGTGCTTTGATGCCTTTAATGTCCATGATTTTAATACTATTTCATTGGTAAGTACGTCAACAAGAAGATGACAACTCTCCTTGAACATAAATTTTTAATTTCAAAGGAACAAAAACACATTACTAGTTTAGTTCAGTGTTGCAAATATATGAGGCTAACATATCAGCGCTCTCATTTACGAGAAGGTTTGCTATTGTCCTTGTCAATCTTATTACACACATTTGTTATTTCAATTTGACAACTAATGAAAACCTTATTAATACTGATTAATGAAAACAATGACACTTAAGGCACTTGTTACTCCAAATAAATGTTAAATTCTCTATACTTTATTGCAGAAATAAAATACACAGAAACACTATCAATGTGTTGTGTGTGCATCATCAGTTCCTATAATCATGTGTAAGCATCACCTCCTGCTTGCCGAATGTGGCAAACTGTGCAGCATAAAAGCAGGTGAGCTGTAATAAAGAATAATTATCACCTACAAATAGAAGTTTTACCTATAAGATATAAATAAACTGAAAATAAATGCATTGGCACTGATTATTTAGATATATTCCCCAGTTGCTCCATTTCAGCCACTGCACCTCTGCCACCTCACTGACTCAGCTGCAGAAACAATGCAGCAACCCAGACTATCCATTTCCTTATTCTATGTGATTATATGACAATATATCACACAAAGAAATGATATACCTAAGTTAAAAGGTTTTTGATTGATCTCGATTTGATTTTGTCACTCCAGTTGTATACAGCATTTGTACTCTGTAGACTTCTCTACATCCTCCTCGTGTTGCTGACTGCTCATCCACCAAATCAAAATAAACACGTGAAATTGCAGTGACTACCAGACGCTCCATTAACCATCCTTGTAATAGATATATGATATTTGCTTATATATATAAACATAAAAATAAATAATATAAAAATAATATAAACATAAAAATATATAATATATATACTCATAAAAAATGAGTAGGCTATATGGCGAACAGACATGGCAGTTGTCATTGAGGGACTGGGGAGCATGGCAGCTGCCTGTCACAGTTTTACAGTGATATATTGTGGATGTACAGTTTAATCCGACAAGCCCCTTCTCGCGAGACCTGGGATTACTTTTTTTGCATTCAAACAACCGTTGGCGCGGTGCTGAAATTCCTATTGATATAATAAGTTACATTTAGAGTTGCTGTTGAGTATGTGAACCGCTCTTCCTGCCAGAGTACAAAGTCTCCTTACGCTGATTCAAATCGTTGCTCACGGAGCGAGTTTTAGTCGCACGTAAAGACTGTAAGTGGAAAAGTTCGCCAGTCCCTCACTCGCAGAACAGATCGACGGGACGCCCCTACCCAGCAGGAGCAGCAGCAGTACTGCGTCGCTGACTGATCTGAATTTCCTCCCCGCTTAGACATATGACCGGAGTCTCATTGGGTAGGCGTTTTCTCACCCTGGAAAGTGTTGTTTTATTTGTTTCCCGTGCAACCAGCTCACCGCTGTAACTCTCGCGACGCGAGCTGAAGGCAACATTTCACTCGGGCTTGTCCGATATACTGGAGAAACTCTTTAATAATGAATGAGCGGGATTGTTTGGATACCGCGGACACCCATGCCTGCCCCACTACTGCCGAGCTCAGTAAGGCAGTGTCAGTGTCCTTGGGTTTGGATTCGGTGTCTTCTCCGCTCAACAACACGAACCCTTGCTTCAGCGGCGCCTTTCCAGACTGCGACCCCACCAGAGGGAACAGTTCCCGAGGAGTGTCGACGTTAGGAGCGGCCGGAAATATGAACTCAGAGGGCAGCAGGTTTCTACTGAATGACAGTAGTCTAAGAGAGGCCGACTTTGGAGAAGTGTGCCATGGCATACAGCAGGTGAGCTGCATGGATCTGCTCAGATCGAGCGAAATGGACAGCGCGCAAACCATGACGCGTGGCCCGGTGATATCCAGATATGTCTGCAAGGAATCAAACTTGTTTATCAACCCGTTGGTAGAGCTGCCCGCGCCCTCTCAGGTGGATGAGCTCTCACCTTTGAAACAATACTCTGCTTACTCTGCCAATCCAAACCTATACAGAGATACCCAGGGTGTGTGGTGCGCAAATGAGCGCGCATACAGCGGTCGATCCGAGCCAGATAGATGCGGATCCGGAGGGCATAATTTGTTGTGTAAATATTGTAATTGTGGGCAAACCCATCTGGCATCCAGGCACGAATGCCACTGTGTCTGGTACAGCAAGGGTGAGCAGGGTGGTAAAGGTGGCATACGAGCAGCGATGGCACAAGAGTATGGCCAAGTGGAAAGATACCAAAATGCAGTTGCTCAAGGACAGGCCACTTTTTCCACTATCAAGACCGAACCTTCAGTTTGGGTGGATTGCGCAGATCGCAGTTTCAGGTAAATAACAGATTTTTTAAACAATGATTTGTTCTGTTTTTCATTGGCACCAGGTGACGGTGTACTGGTGTACAAATCCCGGTGGGTCGCCGGATCTGTTGGACGGTGCACCGTCAAAAAAAAAAAAAAATCCATGAAGTTTTTTCCCCGTCCTGTCTGTCTATTCACCGGTGTTGTGCCGTAAAAAATAAAACACCCCGTTCCCTTTTAACCCTAACCCTAACCTTTAAGGCCCTCTCTGTTTGAGAGCGTGTCGCGTGCGTGTTCTGACTGTGCTCACAGACCCGTTCAGTCTCATCTTCCTTCAATCAGAAACAAAAGGACAAAAGAAGCGTGAACAGCATGCCTGACCACGATTTAATAATAAATGATTTAAAGTTAGTTTCAGTGAGTGTTACATTGTTGGTTTGCCTTTTTTTTTTTTTTTTTTTTTTAAAAACCCAATTTATGAACTTTATTTATGTTTAATAAATTAATTTATATTATTTGTAACTGTTACTTACTGGATTTCACTTGATATTTCTCTAAATGCAGAGCATCACCACAGCAGGAAATGTGATTATTATGTCACAAAAGCCATGTATTGTTATTTGCCATGGCTTGTGTAGACACATTTTGGAGTCATGCTCTGGGCAGACGCAGATGCAGCCATGTATCAACATAAATCATTTGTGTTCTAACAGCCCCATGTGCTCTTCTTGGCCTTGGCCAAGTGTTTCAGCATGCGAGACTGAATCAAAGGTCATACTACCCCTAACTTTCCAGAACTGTCCTTATTTGTGCTGTGACTACCTACGCAAAACACCAGTTAATATATCAGTGTCCCTATAAACAAGAGATACAGCACCTGTTGCTGATACTGTACTTGGAGCGGAAGAAAGTGTTCTACTTCCACATATCGGTTCCTAATAAAAGACTAATGCTGGAATTCTTTAATCATAGGTTTACTTGTATTTAAACTGACTTCATTTGTCATGTACGCATTCATGAGACAGAGAAATCTCCTGGTGTAATTGGATTTGGGGAATTACTGCCCTGTTATAACGGCCGGGCAGCCTTACGCTCTCTGAGGACAGACCTAGTGACCTAAATCTGGTGTTAATACGTTTGTTTGGCTCTATGTCCTAATTTTTATTGGTATATTGTAGCTGCAAGGGATAAAACTGTTTTTAAAATGCTTCACTGGCGGCGTGCCCACTTTTGAATCCTTTAAAAACAAATCTTTTTTTTTTGTTCTAATGTGTTTCTGCCTGTGTGTGTCTCGTGTTTGTGTGTGTGTGTGTGTGTGTGTGCGCGCGCGCGTGTGTGTGCGTGTGCGCCCAGGCATGAGGGTTTATTTCCAGGTGTGTACCTCTCAGAAAGGAGAGTGTGTCAGGTGTGCGGCGACGACGCCTCAGGTTGTCACTATGGAGCAGTCACCTGTGGCAGCTGCAAAGTATTCTTCAAGAGGGCTGCTGCCGGTGGGTGTGACACACACACAAACACACACACGAGTGCACATTCACAATTATGCGACCGTTGATTTAATTTCTTACACCCACTCGCTCTGCTCTTGCAAGCAGGGCACAGTGACCTGACATTATGAGGGCGAGTTATTTGTTACCAGTAAACACCCACATATCGTTGCTATGAGTGGAAGCCTAGGCATTGTTGAATCCACTCTCCTCATCCCCCAGGACTTTTGTGTGCCTCCAGGTAAGCAGAACCACCTGTGTGCCAGCCGGAACGACTGCACCATCGACAAACTGAGGCGGAAAAACTGTGCCTCATGTCGTTTAAAGAGGTGCTTCATGTCCGGAATGAGCCTTAAAGGTGAGGAATTAAAGGTGAGAACAGAATGAGAGGCAGAGAAAGGAAAGTATGAGTGGGGTGTTCTTGGAAAGAGGGGTCAGGATAGTCAGATATCTTACATGAACTGGATCAGAACGCACTAATCAGATGTTCTATCTTAAATACAGTGTAACAAATGAATTTCAGCAAAGGCCAAAAGAGCTTTTTCTTTTTTGCTAAGCAGCCAGTCATCAAAAACATTTCCACATGGTTACAATAAGTAACAGCCCCATGGGCCAACAATTATACCCATGTAGTAAATACAGCATGTACTTGACTTTTCCACCAGCTATCTGTTGTGTAATAATCAGACTAGACAACATGAAACTGAAGCTTCTTATCTCCCTTTTTGCCCTTTTTGTCTTCTACTTGTCTGTATTGTCTGTGGCGGATTCTAGGTCGCAGGCTGAAGGGAGCCGGACAGACGAGAAACGGAGAGGAGGAGCAACCTCCGGCTTCCTGGGGGCCTGGAGAAAGAGGAGAGAGGGCGGGAAAGAAGGACGTAATGTTGGACCCCAGAAGTGCAGCTGCCAGGGCTCAAGGTAGTGAGGATTAGCGTTACTCGAGCTCAAGTGTCATGAAAGATTTGCAATTGTTATTTTCTTCTTGCGTTACTCTTCTGGTTTGTGTCTGTCTTATCTTTAGCCACGTCCCAGGCCCTGGCTCCAGGAATACCCCCGACCCTGCGCTCCTGCCTATCCCTCCTCAGCGTCTTGCAGGCCATCGAGCCAGCCGTGGTCAATGCCGGACATGACCCCGCCCAGCCAGACAGCCCTGCGTCCTTGCTCACCAGTCTCAATGAGCTCGGGGAAAGACAGCTGGTAACCGTGGTGCATTGGGCCAAGGCAATACCAGGTAAAGCAGTTTGGGGGCCAAGGTAACGTACTACGAAACTAGTCCATGCTACGTGTGGCTGTTTCTGCCAAGGATGTGAGCATTGAAGTGCTGTCACAGTTGTTTCGGGTTCAGTATATGTCATTCAGACAAGCTATAAAGCTATCAGAAAAAGTATCTAATATCATCAAGATCTTGTCCACCAGGTAAGAGGCCTTGCCAGAATTTTGTGCAAATACAACTGCTACGTTGAAGCAGCCAAGCCTATGTAAAAGCAAAGCAGCCTGTTCAAATGTTAACCACTAGAGGGGGCTATGTTCATATTCAAGCCAGGAGTTGCAGGCTGGAAACGGCCAGCAATGTATCCACACTGTGTAATCTCTGTAGTTAACGGTGTGAAGTCTTCTTATGTATTTAATTGAACTGTGCGGCATCATTCAATCATGTTTTATCACTTTAATGTGAGCAGGCGTTTGATTAAAATGAGTGCTGTCAACAGGTTTCCGTGACCTGCATGTGGATGATCAGATGTCAGTGATTCAGTTGTCATGGATGGGGGTGATGGTGTTCGCCTTGGGCTGGAGGTCCTACACACTCACTAACAGCTCCATGCTCTACTTTGCTCCAGACCTCGTCTTCAACGAGTAAGTCGTGCGAAACATTCGTTTCACCCAGTACACTTCTGTAAAAATCTAACTCTCAATTAAACAAAGTTAATAAAAGTTTTGTCAGACCTGCCAAGGTTTCTTTATCAAACAAAGAAAGTTTGTTTGGACCTAAACAGCTGTAATAATCATTGTGACATTGGGTTTGTTGGAATATCATGAGATTTCACCTGTCATCTCGATTGGAAAGACAGGCACAGTGGGATACGAGCTTCAGAGAAAGGAAGACTGAAAAATCACACAATGAATGTCGCTTTTTTTAAGGCGAGACAGTAAACAAGTCTGTTCTGTTCTTACATTTCCTTTCTATCTGATGCATGTGGCCGCAGAGGGATCACCTCAGATGATTTATTCCGTTTCATCTTCTCCTAACCAGTCATCAGTCCCGCTACAGCATTGAGTTGTTTCTTTTTTTTTTTTAACTTTGACAAGTTTGAATTTGTGCTGCAACTTTCCTCCAGCCTCTAATGTTTCAGACATTTCAGCTCTTGTCTTTTGTCTTTTCTTTGTACTTTTAATAAGTTAACACAAAGTTCACAAAAACAAAATCGCTGTGCATCATAGCGTATGTGTAAGTAGCAGTCCCGCAGCCTCTTATCAGTAAATTGTCCTCGGGTGTTGAGGGAGGGCGTTGCTCAGAATGCTAACGCCAGCCTCAGGCCCTCGTCGCAGCTTTCACTTGGCTCATATTTTGTGCAACATTAGCAAAACACCCATTCTGTCTGCATTAGCCCTCTGTCACTCTATTGTGCCACTTCTGACCTGCATGGTAATGGATACGCCTGCCCTTGTAGCTGACCCTCATTTTTCTCTGCCTCCCTGTCGTTCTCTTTTTCCATTATCCATCTCACTCATTTTTTCTCACCTCTGCTGCTTTTTCCTCTTTCATCCACTCTTGTTTCTTCCACCATTAATTGTCTTTTTCTCCTTTCGATATTTCTCGTTGTCTGACCCTCTCTTGGCTTCTCACCTCACCTTTTGTCACACCCTGTGCTCCTTCTTCTCCTCTCATGCTGTTTTTTTCTTCTTCTTTTTTTTCTCTCCATCCATTCCTCACAGCCAGCGGATGCAAGTGTCCAGTATGTATGAACACTGTGTGAGGATGAAGCTGCTCTCCCAAAGGTTCTACATGCTGAAGGTCACCCAAGAAGAGTTCCTCTGCATGAAAGCCCTGGTACTCTTCAGCATCAGTGAGTCAGCTTAAAACCATGTCTCGAATAGTAGCTCAAATGTCGAACCCAGCGAGTGAAATATGACTGTAATAGAGTGCAGCCATACTTCAGCGAACTGATGGGATGGATAACGTCTGTGAAAATTATTGTTGTGTTCTGACTTTGTGGTCACAGTGCCAGTGGAGGGCCTCAAGAGCCAACGTTCTTTTGATGAACTGCGGACCTCCTACATCAAGGAGCTGGACCGTTTGGCCAGCCACAGCGGAGAGACCACCCGTACACAGAGACTGTTTCAGCTCACACAGCTGCTGGACTACCTCCAGTCGGTAATACACTCAACTCCATTTCACATCTAACTCTGAACTGGGCTAAAAATGCCATTTTAGTTAGAACCACTTGAGCAGTAGATCAGAGTACACAAACACTGTATTTGGCTTACAACAGTACAGTGTTGACTTATTATTAACTTATTAGGCAGGGCTACAGTACAGGATCACTTCAGCTGAGACTACCAGTTATTATATTTCAAATTTAAGTAACAGTCTATTTGTATACACTTGTATACAAACTGTAACATCATTCAGACAAAAGAAATTCCTTCTCATTCTTTCACACGCAGTTTGTGCATAAATCTCCAGCCATCGGCTAATGTTAAACGCATACCAAAGGGTCATATGACTCCTGTTTTAACTTGTCTGTGCCTGGCTGCTTATTGGGAGGGAACATGACAAGAGTCACCCCCTAGTGGTAGTATTGCTACATCAAAAAATAACTGGAATACTCCATAAGGGATTGTAATAAAAAAGACACATTGCGCACATGTGCAAAGCAGCAGAAAACCAGCTGTAGCTGATATCATCCAGTAGCTGCAGACTGCGCCTACAGTCTAACCTGTGCCAGTGACAGTATCTGCAAAAAATAATAAATTAATTAATTAATTAATTAATAAATAAGAGAAGCAGTAGTTCAGATCTACAGATGTAAACACCTACAGACAAAGAAAATAATAGCTTCTGCAGTTTTGGTACTTGTTCCAGCTGCAGGCGATGAGTGTTACACCTGCTACAGTTTAACTGCTCGTAGCTACTGTTTGTGTGTATGTCTGTGTTTTAGGTTTTATATTTAACATTCAAACCCAGAAAATCTATGACTTTTGCGAACCATACTCAAACTGCTCAGAGTCATCATGTGATCTCTGCCCTCCCCAGCTGTCTTCTTAGTTTCTTTGAAGAGTGGAGGATGGAGTCCTGACCAGATTTTAAATTGAAGCAATACAAAACTATAATTATGCTCTGTCATTTAATATTTGAACTATAAAATTGTGTGTCGCTGAAATAATTTACACATTACAGACAGTTTCAGCTCTGGATAGTTTACTACTTCCTAAAAAACACTTAACCCTTAACAGGCTCACCTGTCTGATCGTCAAGTCCCTGCAAAAGCTTAATAAGAAGCCTGAGTCACAGCACCTAACATTTGCTGTTTTATAGCCACAGGGTGAACTGCCCTTCTGTATGTTTAATATCCACTGGAGGATAGGCTGGCACAGTGATTTTCCATTCTTTATGAAAATGTTTCATTTGGAAGTAGACGTTGTAGGAGTTGTAAATATAACATTTCAAAATCTCTAGAATAAACTCTAGGTATAAAATAAATCAATAAATAAAAACCTTCAGAGACTGTAATAAAACAACCTGGATTTTCAATAACTAGAAGCTCACAATATAAGTAAAGTGCTTATACTCAGTAGTGTCAAGTATGGCTTCATAGGAGTTTCCAAATGAAAGGCTTACAATGCATCAATTCATCTACTCATTTTGCTCAAACTCCTGCTTCAGCCACATAATGTAATAAATAGATAAAATTAAAGAATACAAAGAAATAAAATCAGTTAAGTCAGTAAAATCTGCAATAAAGCATGCTTTGAGACTTTTTTTTATTGAAACAACATATAAAATGTCTGACTGTCTTAGAGGTTTTTGATATCTATGGTGGGTTTCAAAGGCTGCGGAAGCTTATTATAAACATCTAAACATGTGCGACTTTGTGAAAACGACACTATATGGATTTAAAGTCTATTCTTTTTGTTTGGTTAATCGGGGTGTGAAGATGTAAAGATGATAAATGTGCTACCACTAGAGGGCATAGTTGTTCTCTTCCTTATTACCTTCAGAACTTTTAATACTAATTGTTGAGAACATGTAGTTGTGAGAGGAAAAACTCCTGACATCACTGGTTGGGGCCACAGAGAGCTGAACTGCTGCAGTTTCAGACTCATGTCTTTCACTGTGGATTTACTCTTAAAGGCTCAGCTTTGTATCTATCCCACTCACATCTCAGATCTTCTAATGCCTTATGAGCTGGAGGGCAGCCAGGGATTGTCTGGCAGGGCCGTTTAGGCAGAGGACCAGAGTTGATCAAGACTTTGCAGTTCAGACACTGCCTGCGGAGCTTAGGGCGTCACAATGAGTGTCATCTTTTTAAACCACTTCTTAACGGCGGTGTCAAAAGACAGGCTTGAATGTCATTTGTTATTTCCTGCAGGCTTTGTTCTTTGTACACGTTTAAGTGCATCGCCTTTGTTACTAATAACCTCGGCGTATCATATTTTTTTTCTCTCTCTCTCTACCCCTCTGTATTTCTTCATCTCAGGTTGTGAGGAAGTTACACCAGTTCACCTATGATCTGTTCATCCAAGCTCAGTCCCTGCAGACACGTGTCAACTTCCCAGAGATGATCTCAGAGATAGTGAGCGTTCACGTGCCCAAGATCCTCTCCGGCATGGTCAAGCCCATCCTTTTCCACAATACGGCCTAGAGAGAGGAGTCTCTTGTGATCGTCCTATTGGTCACTTGAGCTCTGGCACTCGGTCCTTCATCCATTTTCTGGTAAAGCTGAAGTGGCCGGAGAGGGTTTATGATTTTATGAGGTGAAAGATGTGTAAGCCCCTTTTTACCTGCAGGGTGAGAGTGGAGCACAGTGAGTGGATATTAACAGAAGGGAATACAGCACATTCTTCCAGCCTAATGTAATCTACTTACATCTACTCTGTTCTTCCTACTGCCTGTTTGCTGTATCACGCACACCAAATGTTTCTGGAGCCGATTAAAACACTTTTTTAGCATGCATTCCTCCACACAAGCCCATGAGTTGCCAACAAGCCCAGCATGCAGACTTCCTCAACCCGTCATTCAGATTGTGACAACAGGTAATATTTCATTTTGAGAGGTACGACAGTAGCGAGAAAAACATTTTTGCAGAGTTCACATCACCGTAGCTTGTCTGTGTGCGCAGTCGCTTGACATTTGGACTAGATTTTTTTTTTTTCTCCCACAATGAATGTTGTTGTGTGCACCTGGGATGAACAAAGTCCTTGATTGACAGTTAATAAGTGGTTGTGGCATGCATGCTAAGAAGCAAAGCTGTCTCGCCTGAAGGCAGATAGAAACATTTCTGAAAGCTGTTCTCATCTATAGAAATAATAGTCTTCTAATAGTTTTAGGTGTCAACGAAATAAGTACACTTTTAAGATGTGTCAATGCAAATTTCAAATGTATATTTATGAATATTTTAATGTCAAAATGTCACACCAAAGACAATGAAGAAAGTAATTAGACAAAACACATAAAATAAGTTGACTAATAACACTATGGGTGAGTTGTTTTTTTAAGTTCGCTTTTCCAGAGTGAGCATTTCATACTGTTGTAACTTTTCTACAGTTTCTTAAAGTGTTCTTGTGTAAAGCAGATGCTCTGTCGTGTATCATCATGTATTCATTGTAGCTTTTTGACAGTTTTGCAAAGCGTTAAACGTCCAGCCAAGAATTTGCTCATTTGTTGCAACATTTACAGCTTAACATGTAATAAAACTGAAGCATGAGTGTGTATCTGTGGGTTGATAATGAGCCGCTGGCGGCATTAGAAGCACAAATCTGGTTGAGTGCATGCCGATGGTAATACAGTAATCTTCCTGTTTTTCTCTGTCTGATGGATTCATTTCAGTCTGCCATGCAGCCATGTGGACAGACAAGCTTTAGAAAACATCACAAGCCTTTTCCTACCGCTGCATTATCTCAGTCTCCACCCAGCCAGGTAATAGATCCCAGCAGGAAGTCAGAACATATCACTGAGTCAAATGAGGAGGCCTGGCCTGATTTATTTCATGTTTTTATCATGTAAGAAACAGCAAATGCCTGCTGATCTGAAAGCGCTGCCTGGTGTTTTAGTGCCATCTAGTGGCGACTTTTAAATGAAGCTCAGCAGCAGTACATCTGTTGGATCCATTGACATTTGCTTCGTAATGTAATTGGACACGGACTCACTCAGTGTTTGAGCGAGGTTACCGTTAAATAGTCAGAGTCACGAGAGGGGAGCTCATAGCATTAAAGGGTAACGGAAGATAAGAATGCATTTGAATAAAAAGCACAGTTTAGGAATAAATTGTGGAAAAAAGTAGGAAGGAAAAGCTTCATCCTATTAGAAAATGAATTGTTTTTTTTGTTTTTTTTAATCTTTTTTAATTTAAAAAAAAAGGGTCTTACAATACTTACAATTGTCTGTAGACCTGGAGAGAAAATGACATATCTTTAAGAGCTGGTGTATTTTAGTTACATGGTGCATTTAAAGAGCCAAACTGTAAAAAGCAGTCAGTCTCGGGAACCTCCACCGCTGTTTTAAGTCCCATTTCCTGAACAAACCTCTTTCAACAAGTATTTGTCCCTCTCATAAATGAATTGGAGCTGAACGAAGTTGGGATTGAAAGACACGCTGAAATATCACTTATTTCTAAATATATTTCCTGCTACACATGCCCCTGTGGCTTTCCTTAAAAGGAATGGCGTCTTGTAGGTTTGCAATGATCAAAAATGTATGTGTTGATGTCGACATTTGAACTTAGTTTAGATTCCATTTGATTTCTGTGTTTCTCCGAGTCTGCTCTGCATCAATATTACATGCCTACTCTAGCAGAAGAGGGATTTTTCCTATTGGGTAATGGCAACCGCAGAAAGCACAAACACACTGGCCTCGAACAACAAAAGTAAAAACTATTTCCTTATGTGTAAATGAAGGAAAGATTAACAGGAGGAAAGAGTTTCAGCTTGACAGTTCACTTTAAATGTGACACAAAGGAAAACAACGCACAAGTAAAAAGAGAAGTGGAGATACTTCAAACTTGACACTAAAGTAACCGAACACCCACGATACCAGGCTCATGAGGAAATGTGGTTGGCACAGGGTACGGTTCTTCTTGCAGGACCTTACATAAAACTCGAGCAATAATGTCTTTAACACCAGGTTACCACAACTCACGGCTACAGTGACCGGAAAACAATTAGATTGTGGAGGTGGTAAGATGACACCTGTGAATGGGTTGTTTCGGTGGCCTATCTAATGGAGGGCGATTCCTACTCAAGCACCAGTCCATTAACAACCAATTAACTTCCTATTAATATTTTACCAGACAGGGCCTCTCATCCTGACGTGTTTTAAGGAGCTTTTCCCAGGAGTGTTTGAACATGAGCAGCTTTTAGCGCAGCATAAAGAGGCCTGTGTAATGGGCTGGAGGAGGAGGAGTGGCAACCTGATAGCACTGAGAGCAGAGGAGGGGAGAGAGGAGAGAGGAGACAGACTTCTGCAGCTGGCCTGGCCCGCTCCGAGCCAAGGCCCTGAGCCGGGCACAGCACACAACACAGGGATTGCAGCGTGAGGAAATCCGTGATTTTATGGCCCTGACGCGAGATCAGACATGAACCGTGATCTTGTGCCATGTGTTGATCGTAACTGTGTTTTGACAGTCAAAGATGTGACGAATTCGTTTTGTCTTGTTCGCTCAAAATTGCAGCCGAACAGCAGTTTTGCCTCCAGGGTTTAAAGTGCTTCTCACCATCAGTGAGTTTATCATAAAATAAACCCCTAAAACAGGAATATCCACTTTGCTCACAAGCTGTACTTTGTGCTGTCTAAGGCTGGTTTGGGTTGGACATTTAAAAGCTAGTTCAGGGAAACTCCCTGCCTGGAGAGAAAGAGAAAGAGAGGCAAGAGGAAGAGAGAAGGGGGGGGGGGCCATTATGACTATAGCCTGCGGCTACTCCCAACGGATAAGGCATTTGTCTTCACTTGAAAGTATGATTTATTTTTCCACCAGTCAGACGGGTTATGTTTGTCACCGCACACTGAAAGGACTTTTGGAAATAGCAGCAGAAGCAGAAATGGAAAAAAAAAAGAATGGTCACTGGTTTTCTATTGCAGTCTTCATGTTTTCTCAAAGACTTCCCCTCTATGGTTACCTTGTTTCAGTCTTCATTAACTTTAGTTAACCATACTGAACCTTGCGTCTAATTTATCAACAGGAACTCTGTGTGTGTGTGTGTGTGTGTGTGTGTGTGTGTGTGTTTGTTGATGATTAAGAGAAAGAGGGGAATGTGGGAAGGGGGGGGAGGGTGGGGGGGTGGGGGGTTAAGATGTAGTTGTATCAGGTTCCGTCCACTGGGTGTAGATGTGGTCTTAGATTTCTCTCTGGGCTGCTGATTAACCATGTGTGTGTATCTGTATGTCTAAGTGTGTGTGTGTGCTGGGAGTGCACTGAGGAGGAGAGGAACTTCAGCTTTAATTTCCCCCAGCTCCAGATATTACACCCCCGCGCTCTGTTTTTATTGGAACAGAGACCAAAAAACACCAAGTGTTTATGATGCATTAAAACATGGTGGGGAACTCGAGTGTGGAATTGTAAATCTATACATTTGGCTCTGTCTCTCCGAAGCAGAATTAATTCTTTTATAGAGGATTTCGTGTGTTTTACGAAGACTGGTGTTTGTAACGCACCATGAAATCATGTTTATCATCTTGACGTGGAGGACAGAGACTGGAGAAAATTCTCTGTCAGGGGGAATGAGAGGAAAATAAAGGCAGGACTTCAGAAAAAGATTGCAGAGGGGCACTTGGGAGATGGGAGGAGTCATTGAGTTTTTTGGGTTGAAGCACAGAAGGAAGGAATTATTCTGCATTACCCTAATGACCATTTCAACAAACGGATGGGTGAGGAGACCACATTACATTCTATTAACTCCGCTTTTGTTGTCAGTGAACTGTTAATGGTGTACAAAGGGAGCGCTGCACTGCTCTCCTGGACAATGCATGCTCTGTGCTTCTAATTATTCTCAGGAAAGTGCCGACAGCCTTTATACCTGGAGACACATTAGCTGGCTCTAATTAGAGTAAATATTCTTCTGGTATAACACCAGTATTGCCTCACCAATCCAACAGCGATTAGCTTGCTGTTTTTCTGCAGGGCTGCTTTTGCATTCCCACTGCCTCTCTGTCTCTCATTCTCCTTATGTTTTTTCTGTCTTGATCATTGCCTTTGCCTCTTCCTCACTCTTTTCTTCTCTGCACTCAATTTACTTCCTCTCCTCTCCCCACCTCTCTCCCTCCTTCCTTTCCTTTCTTGCAGCAGCAGCAGCAGCAGCAGTAGGTGCACCACTAGCTGTGACAGAATCACAGTGTGTCTGCCCATGCCCCAGCTATCTCCCAAGTTCATTATATCTGTACACAGTGTCCATGCCCTCCGCCACTCGAAAGCCCCTCATTGCTCCTGTGTCCCAGCCAAACACAATGTGACAGCGCCGCCACAACCCTCATTTACAGCCATCACAGGACAGATTTCCTCTTCCAAGGCTCCAGTCTGCAGCCTGATAGATGGCACCCCTGCTTTTTTTTCCGCCTGCGTGCACGTCAGTGTGGAGTTATTTAGTGTGTGCGCGTGCGCATTTCTGTCGCCCTCCATTTGTCTATGTCCCTACACGTGTGCGAGTCTTTGCGTTAGAGCAGGCCGAAGCTGAAACAGCAATGTTTCCTGTCAGTAGTGATCCCTAAAACTATGTATTATAATATTACTGGCCTTTGTTTCCACTCACTCACACACTATGTTTTTATATTTAATGCACTCTGCATACATTGCTCTGATTTTCTGCTTGTGCTCTCAGAGTGCTGCTCAGTTTTAAGTGCATAGTTTTGTGTAAGGCCTTCCATATCTATGGCGTGCTTATTGGAGCACCCTTGGGGCAGGCACATCTTTGGTTCGGGAATCGCTGCAGCACAGTTCGGCTGCGGTATTCACACTTTTTGATATCTTGTCTCTCTCTCGCTCCTCTCTTTCTTTTTCCTCTCCTCCCCTCTAAATATTGTACTTCTACCCTCAGGCACCGGTTCTGTGTCATACTGGGGAAGGTCAAGACAGACACACACACGCACACACACACACACACACACACACACACACACACACACACACACACACACACACACACTCATAGATTTCAAATATCTCTATCAGCCCTCCGAGGATCAGATTGTTTTACGGGAAATCATGTCACGGGTCAAATGATTGAATTATTAATGGAAGTGCGGTGCAATAACAATCGGCCCTTGTCTATTGTGATTCCAACGTGATATTCACAGACCCCTCTCAGCCTAACTTGATACTACCATGTTACAATCCAAATCCAATAATGCAGACTCTGCAAAAGAATGTCCCCCCCCCCCTCCTCTATTGTTTCATCAGTCGAAGAGCGTCTTTAGTCTGTTGCCTTCACAGTGGAGAGTATTACCGAGTCTGTAGAACCATATCGACTGCTGTGCCACATTTCCAAGGACAAGGCAATACATTTTCATCATAACAGTCATGGGAAAGTAATTCACGATGATAGGACTCTTTCACAATACACTGGTCTATGAAAAGTGTGTGTGTTTTTGTGCATATATGTGTAACTACTATGGCATATGTGTGTGTGTGTGTGTGTGTGTGTTATCTGGCATTCCTTGCAGAACTCGAATCTTTGTTCCTTTTTACAGTGCAAAATATGGATTTTTTTTTCTGAGCATAGCTGCAAATCAACCAAGCAGATCTAAGGCACATTCATGACTC